GAAACCCACTGTAAAACCCAGGGGGATTTTCATTGCCCAAGTTCAAAGTATACAGGGTCAGAGGCCACAATGCGATGCATTTGTTATGATCAAAAGCAAGGTTCTGGAGGTTTTTTTTTCCAGAAATGTACGGTGGAATGTCGTTCCATGATGTGGAGGGGGTTTGAGAACACAACTCTGATTTGCACGTGTATGTGTACAGCCATTTGGTTGAGCCACTACTGGTTAAGGTACTACCCACACTGTGGGTTATGGGGGTTAGTTGACCATACTTTCCCATGCTGGTCGGTGTGAGTTGGGTGAATGCAGAGGGAGCACAGATGTCCAGCAGCATCGACGTACAGACCAACAATGGCATTTTCAGCACTGCTTTCTGCTACCCATGATGTAGTATGGCCCTGCTGCCACCGATGGCAACCTGTTGTTTGTGCATGGTGGCCACCCATGCAGGTACTATCCGGACAAGTTCCGCCACATTGCAAGTAACATGGTAATAGAAATATGAAATAACAAACAAAAATATATTGGTAATGTCCAAAAAAAGCTCATAAAACCATTCAAAACATTGCTTTGCGAGTTAAAAAATACATGGCCCCTAGCCATATATTAAAAATTTAAACTTCATTGAGCATTTTTACGTTGCGTATACTACACGTGTTTATATATTTTTTAACAACTTCATGAAAATAAGTAATGTGGCTAACGTATAACTGTTAATGTACCATACATTATTTTTTAATGTTTTTTTTATAACATATCCGATTACAGAAAAGTTTTGACTTCGGGATAAAAAAAACTAAAAAACGACGTGTAAATTATCACGTTCTCATAACATATCTTACGGTTATCAAGTCTCATGCCAAATCGTATTATTTAAAAAAAAATCTAGAAAACAAAATAAAAACAGGATTTCAGAAGAGGAAATGAAACATTCCGCATTTTGTTTACTCTTAAAACGTTCCAGAAAATGTTCACTTCCAAATTATTTCCACGTGCATTGGTTGACCAAAAATAATTGGGTACAAAGGGAAAACGTTCGGCTGGACACACTGTGGCACACGTCAGAGTTTGGAACGAATCATTTTATAAACCTGGGCGACTGTGCAAAGGAAAGGGGTACAGGAAGTCTGCTTTTATTTAAACTCATGGCTTGTGTGTATTTACTTTGTATTAAATTTCAAACAAAAAAAGGGTGGGAACACTTATTTCATTTCAAACATATGTTTCACAAAGTCACTGCAGTGCATACCATTTCCAGTGACGTCCTTCCTTCACTTCTGATAAGTGGCGAAACAGGACATTCCTAGCCAATAGCCATTGCTCTCGATGGGACAACAAAGATTGAATTCTGCAATTTAATCGCTGGAATTCCCATCACTGGTTCGGGACCACCAACAGAGATACGAACGACCAAATGCTCATTTATGTATGGAGATACACCTTTCCTTTGACTTCAGCTTTCTTCAAAGGGAAAGGGCTTATTTTAAAAAGTCTGTCCGTGTGTTGGGTTTAAAATAAGGTAAAAAAAAACCATTCTGGGTAATTTATGGGTCAAATGGGCTGATCTTGCAAGTGATGTTAGAAATCTTTAAAATGCACTTTTCAGAGCAGAACACTTTTATAATTTCAATATCAGATATCTTGGGTATATTTTATCCACATCGTGCTACCGGTGTGATGTCATGAGATTAAACATGCATTCGGATATCTCACATTAAAAGTGCCACTCTTCATGCGAGAATGTCCCACGGAAGCAGATGTCAGAGGTACCTCAACTATTCCTTCAAGTTACCTAATTTACACAGTAGAAATAATCAATTTCCCACCGACTCTGCCAATATACGTTCATCCCATGAATCAAAAATACATTTTAATTCTCACATGGAAGTTAACCAAATTAAATGCAAAATCATAACTAATTATAGAAAGAAATGTGTGCAAGTATTTGTCACCAGGCCGAGAACATCAACCCACTCCGCTTGAAAATCCATTTTAATCACAGGCAGCTACCTCAAGTTAAACCACGATTTCAGAGCCGCTTGATCTCATTGTTATTTTAACAGCACGAGTGCGTTCAAATTCCCCATTTTGAATCCTTGAATTGCATCCTTTAAAACTATGAAAGAAAAATGTCTTGATCTTGTGTCATAGCCAAGTTTGTAGTGCTTTGCCACATGTCCTCAAAATACCCATAACCATCTTAAGAACATTAGCCACGTCTGAAAAAAAATTGTCAAACGACAGCAATTCACTGTATCTGAGCGTTTCCACAAGTGCCAGCCACATGTGGTACCAAAAATAAGGTGGAGAATACTGTATGTTCTAAAGTGCCCCCCCCCCCCCATTAGGCAAAGAAACCATGTGTACTCCCTCGTATAAGAGTTTACAAGTGACCGCTTCAGTGAACTCGTACAAAAAATAGCAAGTAAATACAAAAATAACTATGTTGTTTATGCAATAAGGTGAAGTATCCATTTGGATCTCTTGCAGTGCAATTTTTGCAACTCTAATTGAGAACGGTCCACGGAAGAGGATACCGGCAACCTGGAATCGCAACTCTGAAAGCTGCATCGGGTCCTGGTACCAAAAGTCACCAAGTTGGCAATACTGCCCTTTTACTCAGCAGGCCAGACATGGCAAGTCATGTAAATGTATGGCGCGAATAGCACAAAACATTTATACAGTTTCAAAAACTGTTTTTATTGTTGCTATATATATAATGACCAGAGCACACAACTATCACGAATTATCCTGTTTACAGTGATCCCAACCCACACTTGTGGTTTTGTAATGGTGATTTTCATTTGATAGCATCAGTTATACATAAACACAATTTCACCGTTCATTTGAGAAATATAAATGTACACCTATGAATGTTGTTCAATGCTGTTTGTTGCTTCACACTGCGGTTTGTTGAATTACCTGCACGGCTACAGATCACTTGCTTGTAACATGTGAATGCATTTGCCTCGACTGTAAAATACGCAAGGCTGCAGCGCCACCTATCAACAACATGTGCACACCTATTAAACCAAACAATAACATTCACGTACAGTCCTTTACCAATGCACTGCCGAATGGATACAACATTTCACAACAATTGAAGGCTGATAGTGTTTTTTTTTATGAAGTACTGCAAAATAAAGGACATAGCACAATATGATGACTTTACTGCCAGAGCTTATGTGACAAAGTAGCCACCATTTTATACAGAACAGTGAAGGAATGTTGTCCCACAATGATACTCGAGACCATGGTTTTGTTTTTCATGTCCTAAACTATTTTACCCAAAACATATTTGGAGAGCTAGAACATCCCACTTGCCAGGGTGTCCAGGGTAGGCAATTGCCAAACAATGCGGGCTTTTTGCGTCGTCACTTATGGACCCGGCATTTGTGGAGGTGTTTGAACGTCAACCAATATTCCTTGGCAAGTTATAACTTTCTTAAAGAGACTTTAACCATTGTACTGGTTAGAGTTTACCGATTTTAGCAGAGCATAGCTGTGATATGGAACAAACGGCTTGATCGTCAGCATTGCTTCAAGCACCCAACAGCAGATTAATGTTTAAGTCTCACAATAACATTGTTTACCATTTTAAATTAAGAAAATGCTATGCAAGACAAACAATAATCTAAATATTTTAGAATAAGGGCACTCAACAATTGCTATCAATAGAGCATTGACTGCAGGCCCATGTTGATAAAAACGTGATATCATTTTATAAACTGAACTTGAGAATTGTGGTGTCATTCCATTATACAGTACGTATACAATATTAACAGTATTGTATGGTACCAATTGTTACCACGAACACACATTCATTCACTCAGATCCTGTGTAAAACTAAGATTTGGGGACAAGAGACACAAAATATTCCATCTGAACAAGACATTTCCTGTTGTGTCAGTGTATGACCAGTGTAAATACGATCGATATGCAGGTGTATAAAATGGTACGGGTACAAATTTGCCAAGAACAAATTGACCTGATAGAAGTAAAGAATCGCATGTAGTAAATGCATTTGCGATTCATCACATGTCCAGTGCGAGGGAGATAAAATAAGCTTTTCACCAACACACACCAGCGTGGTGAAGAGCACTAGGTGGCCCGCAAACCATTAACAGATTGACAAATATTTACAAAATGTTGTGGCTTAGCTCTCCAACACACCAGTGGGCTGTACTAGTGACGAATTGTCATGTTCTGTTTACGTGACAACCCTCACTAGTTGGCCGTGTCGGGTGATGGCGGGTTTTAATGACACATTCATATATTTATGCGATCTAACCCCAGAATCTCTATTATGGATGAAATTGGTCACGAAAGCTTCCGTGTTCAACAGATTGACATACAATTAGAAACAGCTTCATAGCTCATCAGATTCCTCCGGTTTAAAGTAAAGATTTAGATTCGGATTCATTGAATTAAAAAACAAAAAGTTTCAGGGAGGGTCTTACGACATCTTTGGCCAATTCCTATAATGAGTGTTTAGCTTCTTGTGGGACAAACCCAGAACCCGGAGAAACCCCATCAAGTACAGGAGGGGGGGGGGGACACTCAGAGCTCCGCATAGAGAGACTCAATAAAGAAATTGCTGTACCACCTGGCCACCCAGCAGCTAGGCTCAACTTTACACCACCTGGTGACAAGCAGTCTCCCATTCAAGTACTGCACTAAGTTGCACTACCCTGGCATTGTAAATACATTTTTTTTTCAAATCCAGAGCAGATGAATCTCATTTTCAAATGCAAGTGTCACTTGCAATAATGGTAAAACCGGTAGTCAAAATAGTTTGCAATACAGGCACTTCGTAGTACACCAAACGTGTATAGCGGCACTGTTTAGAACTCTTCAAACTCCTATATGGTACTACGATGTTTCTGAAGAGGGGAAAAAATGAGCTGTAGAATGAAGACGTTTTAGAATGGGAAAATGTTCATTTCGAGCATTTGGTAAAGCTGAACTCAAGCAGAGTAAACAAATTAAATACAGTGAAATGAAATTAATCCACTAGGTTTATTAACGGACATGACCATCGTAAAAAATATATATATATTTCATCAATCACACGTTACTTCAAAATTGGGGCCGTCTACCCTGTAAAAACTTTACCAGATTACTTTGGGTAAAATATCCCACTCAATAAAGATTTCGGGAAGGACTTGAGTATGCAGTGCATTGGAGATGGCAAGGAGAGTAAAGTCCATTACACAGGAAGGTAGGTCTCTCCGAAGAGTTACCGGTGTCAAAAAATGTGCGTTATTAAACCCACTGATCATCAAGGGCACCTAGGACACAAGTTATTTATGCTGGCTTGACAACCTCTATCTGTTGCTGAACAACCAAAAATGCCACAATTACACAGCATGCCATTTACTTCTCCTTATATAAACGTGTAGATATGAAATATACCACCGATTTCAGCAAGCCTCTGTGCATTACAGATTCAAGCCAGCTTACTATTGTGGCAAAAGACAGCGGAAAATTTGGATGAAATAAAAACCCCTTAAAATTTTAATCATAAAACGTGATAGAAAGGCACAAATTGACAGGCAATGGAGGAAAAAAAAAGTTACACATGTTTTATCAGTAAAAATTTTTTGAACAATTTTAAACTGTAGTTATGTATACAATTAAAAAAATGTATTTAAAAAAAGACAAAAGCACATCCAGTTTTGAAGCAGACGATGGCCCACAAATCCTTCTCGAGCACACGTTGTCCCGTTTATGGCTGACGATTCTTCCACCGTTTGAGGCTGATGAAGGAACTGGCTCCATAAAGGGAGGTCACGATGAAGATGAACACCTGGGAGCAGACAAATGTGGAGATCACTTAGGTCAACTGGTACGACTATAAAAATGGCACTCTGGCTGTACAATGCCAGCTTACAACAATGCGTATGTGCAAATAAAAACAAAAATATTACAATAATAATGTACAGTCCTCTGATAAAACAATGATGAATGGATAAATCCCTTGCAAAGCTGTCAGTAACAAGGCTTATTTGGACCATACCTTCACCATACTGGTCAGTGTGGGTTGATGAAATGGGGGAGAGGCGTGGGGGGCAGAATAAGTTCAGATAACCCTCACCACGAATGTTAAACTTTTACACGATTAATTTTATTTTACCAGGGGCACAAATGATAGCTAAATGAAGTGGCTTATGTTGAAATTTTTAGCAGCCAAATAATCTAAACGCATGTTTATAAAAATGTGAAGGGAAAAACCGGAGGACCCGGAGAAAAATCCACACAACCACATGGAGAAAAACTGCAAACTCTAAATATACAGGCATCAGGGTCTGGATCGAATCCACGACCTCCTGCATGCCAGGCCAATTAGTGAACATCTCATCAATCGAACTTGGGTTGTTGAACGCAGTACCCTCAGCACTTTGCCACAGATTCCCTATTGTATTGTATGTCACAACTAGTTGTAAACACAGAACACGATAATTGAAATCACCTGGACAGCACTTCCAATAATTTAGACAATTATTTTCCACGACTACAAATGTATATGGCTATAAGTCATGAACCTCCCTAAAAAAATGTCAACAACCGGTGTTAAATCACCTCATTAATTTGCTTAATACGGTACTTAAGTTTTAAATTGAGCGTAAGCTCTATACAGTATCCCAGTAAACATGGAACATTGGGCCAAAAATGGCATGTTTAAAAAAAGGTAAGCTTCATAACGAGTTGCTAATTTAGATGTGACCTAGCTATTTGCCGTGCAATGCAACTTGATTGTTATTTACATTAACAATGTATCATTTCATTTTTCATTAAGCATTTCATAACACGGTGGATGTAGTTTTCACTTGAGTGCGAAGTAAATAAAAAATAAGGAGCAACTCGCAGAGGGTAATATATCCTGTATGTATGTTGAACTTATTTCGCACCACGAGTAGCCAGCAGTGCATTAAAACAGCACTTTGGTGTATGCAGAGCACCGAACTAAGGTGGTAGGAATTTAATTTGTTTTTGATTGAAACGAGTCAATGTGTCTCGTGACATCGTTCAACGATTATTTGTTTTTCACATTCTCACCATTTACACTTCAACCATCTCATTGTAATAAAACACAGGTAAATACATTACTCACTGTTGCGGCGATGTTTAGCTGATACACATTGAAAATCGGCGATAAAGATATCGGGGTTTGACCCATGCTTGCCGTTAAATAAACTTGAAGCACAGCTGCGCTGAAGTACAGCAGAAATGCCATGCAATTGTAGGCAGCATCCTGTAAAAGAGAAAAAAAAATTGAGGCATACATAACTTTTATATGCTCTGGTCAATGAGCCCCCCCTCATCCTCCCCCCCAATGCAGTGAGAGCATGGTGTAATCGTAATTTGCAAAAGATGTCCACAAATCCGACCTTTTCACATACAGTAGAGGAGAATTCTTATCCACAGCCTTATTATCTGTAACCAATATCAACCACGGCAGCTATAGGATCTGCAAAAAACTCCTATTAGCTGAAATTTTTGTTTCACTACCCGAACCTACTATCCATGGGTTACCTGCAAATTCTTACCCCCCACAGATAAGAAGAATAAAATAACGGATAACCCCACGGGTTAAAATTAACCGTTACATTGGTACACCATATTACCGCAGATAGGAGCAGTTTTCCTCTATTCTAAATTCCCCGCCATATGTTTGCTTACTTCTAATGTACAGAGCAGGACATATAGCATTTCCCCCCATGCTTAAAGCAGTGTGCCATTTCTTGTCTTTGACATTGGAAATAATCACCCAGGAATGTCCGTCCTTAACGCTCGTGACGTCACTCCACATCGACCAGCCCCCTACTTAATATTCATGAGCAGGTGACATCCTCCAAATGGACACCCCACCCACCCTTCCTCATTAATAATCATGAGCGGGTGACGTCACTCAATATGGAGTACTCCCCCCGCCCCCCTCACTAATAATCATGAGCAAGTGTAATGAAACCAGATACCAACACAGTAAGCACTGCTGTAATCATAGCAGCTCCCACCACATTCAGCATGCACTGCTCTAATCATAGCAGGTGCCACCACAGTGAGTATCCACTACTGTAGTCATAGCAGGTACCACAGTCAGTATGTTCTGCTGTAATCATAGGAGGTACCACCACAGTATGCATTGCTGTAGTGAAAGCAGGTACCACCAAAGTCGGTATGCACTGCTGTAGTGATACCAGGTACCACCAGCGTCGGTATGCACTGTTTCAGTTTCAGTTTATTTTTATTTATTTTGGTATAGCCCTGTGAGCCATTCGGCTCTTGAATCGGGTGCAACCACAACAAACAAAAAAACAAAAACACGAACAAGAAAAACATCTTAAAGTGACTATGTGACTGTGCAAACAGAAAATCCATGAAAAAAACATCAAAATATTCCTGAAAAAAGCACCATACACCAACGCTGTGTGCAAAAAATCCCAGTGGGATGCAAGTCAAACAACAACAACAACAACCACAAGAAAACTTAGATTAAGGCCATCAGTCTAACTCCGTACTACAACAAAACAAACATGTCTAAACCAAAAAACGTTTTCGAAATCACCAAAAAATGAAGCCATAATTGCAACGTAACACTGCTGTACTGATAGTACATACTGCTATATAGAATTAGTAGTACTAAACAGTATATACCACTACAGTCAGTCAATACTGATACAGTGAGTAGATACTACTACACAGTCAGTAGATACTACTACGGTCGGTAGCTACTTGACTCAGTAGACACGACTATAGAGTGAGTAGACACTACTATAGAGTGAGTAGATACTGCCATACAGTTAGTAGTTACCACTATAGTCAGTGGATACTACTATAGTCAGCAGATACTACTAAACAGTTAGTCGTTACTACTATCGAGTCGGTAGATACTACTGTAGGGCCAGTAAATACTACTACTACGGTCAGTCGTTACTGCTACAATCAGTACATACTACTAAACACTAACAACTATTGGCTCACTAGATACTACTGTACAATCAGTAGATAAAACTACAGAGTCAATAGATACTACTTACTCTGTTGTATGTCGGGTGTGTAGGTATATATACCTACGTGGGGGTAAAAATATTTTTTTAGGGGGGAGGGTCCACAATTTTCGGAAACCTTTTAGGTCAACTATTTACCCCCCACTTTCTATAACTTTTTGGACTTGTGCAAGCCTCTTCTAATTTTGTTGGTGGAGAAATGGACAAACGGCCCACCGGGCTTTCACAATACCTTAGTATCTGTGTATATGTAAGGTTTTTAAGAGAAGATTTGATATATATATACTTTTCGCCCGGGCAACGCCGGGTACTTCCCGCTAGTATATTATGAAGCACCTTTATCCAAGGCGCTTTTTACAAGGGTTACGAGTGGTACAATGAGGGTAGCTGAAAGCGATATGGCCAATTAGGATGGGGTATGGGGAAGGGAGGTTGGTGGACATGGGAATTACGGGTGTACCTAGGGATAGAGGGAATGATGATGATGAGCCAGGGAGACGAGGTGGGTCTTGAGGGATGAGCGGAAACTAGACAGGGACTGTGCTTGCTGCTTAATGTGGAGGGGAGTGGGCAAGTAGGGAGAATTAAAAAAAAGTGTGAATTCTTTACTATTTCAGCCCACCACCCAGTGTTGCCAGAGTTGTGGCAACAATCGCCCGATGATGCTGGATGTAATTACCAGCAAAGCGTCGTACTACTCAAACTCCAAATGTTGTGGATTTACTCTCCAACGCACCGGTGGGCTGAGGTAGTCACTAATTGGCGCATTTTATTTACGTGACGAACATTGGTGGGTTAACGACACGTTTATACTAACGCGATCAAACCCACAAAAAACGTTATTAGGAGCAGCGTTGCAGTTATACTCGTAATGTATTCTTAATATTGTGTACCTTCGCTTGCTTGCAAAGTGCTGTGCTGTAAAGTTTTTGTCAAAATGTGCACTTCTTGTCCAGTAACCAGTCATCTATTTGTGCGTGGGTGGAGCAACTAATTTTCTTCAGATATTCACTTATCGCAACCTTTTCACTTTTACCTATTGCTCAGTTGTTTCTGTAATCAGGGATTTTTATCGCGTGATTTCAATGTTAAAATACGTAAAGAAAATGGCACAAAGATATTTAAATGAAAATATTGGGCCTTTTAAAATCTAAAAGCCCATATTGTTAAATAAAAATGTAGGATTTTTTTGTCACAAAAGATAGATCACCATACATATTCAAATGTATAAAGCATAATCATTTTGTATATAAACGCATACATTTTTATAGCCATGCATTCTGACAGTTATGGATGGTATAGAGAATTTTCAGAAGCAGAAGTTTATTTTCCGAATAAATAACCTATTGAGCTGTACATTTCTTTTTCAAGGTTATGTGTGTATGTATGTTGAACTCCGTTCGCACCGTACTTAGCCAACCATGCTCATCGGAGGTGCGGGGTAGATGTGAAAAGGGTGACAGTCGAACCCATGTTAAAAACAATTTCGCCATTTTAAATACAGACAGGCGCGATTGGCAGGTGCCCTTGTATGCATGCATTTCTGTATACAATTCATAAACGACATGACCAAATCACCCAGAATGTGCTTCGTTTCAACAGATCCCGGGCACTAAAAAACACAGGGTTTGTGAAAGGAATTGCCGCCTTCTAAATGGAAGCCTTAGGGAGAATATCTTAAATTAATTATAAAGAGCCTGCAACAGTAAAATGAAGTCCTGAAAAATATACATTATCAGACAAAGAATCAAGATTTCAAAAGAATCAATGAGATCAAATATAGAAAACTGCAATATTTCAGACACGTTACCAGAATTAATGGCGACTGGCTGCAATTGATGGTGATGGAGGGAACACTTGAAGGAGTTTGGGAAAGAGACGACGATCTGGCTGGACATCAAACCTTGGACCGGATGGAAGCCGTCTCAATTGAAACGCTCAACGACGGACAGGGAAAAGTAGAAACATCACTGCAAGGGGATTTCAGTAAAGGAAACAGTCATTCCCCAACAGAAGAACAAGAAAATGCAGGGTTGAGTCTGAATAGTGCTCGGATGGGCAATCAGCCTTAACAAGATGTTGCAGGGTTATGCAGGCTGAGGTGTCAGTGGGCACTGCGGAAAACTCAGACCAGTGTGGCGAAGGTTGGTTTACAAACTCCCCACGACTCCTATGGCTTGGGGAGGGGCCTCATCACACTGGCCAGAGCGGATCGGTCAAGGTGACACCCAGGACCAGTTCAGACATCACTCATCACCGATCTAAGCTGTGGACGGAAATCAAATTCGAGGTCGCCCACTTTAAGTTACAGTGCGGCAATAGATTCACCGCCATTATACGGTGCATTAAAGTGCATAGCTATTAATCGGCGTTATAGCTATGTTTATTTTACTGCTAAAGGCAATTATTATTTTACATTATTAATTCTAATGATAGAAGGTGCTTGGTACGTTGTAATACATCACTTACACTTTGAAACAATAAGACATTAAATATCATAAATGATATTCCTATATTGTGAAGCATGGTTTAGCTCTCAATTTTATTTATTCTCATTAATGTGTATATCACCAATACGATATTGTTTTTGAACATTGTATTTGGTCTCTAATGCATCTCAAACACCCCATTGTTCTGATGTACTGCATGGGAGGTGCAGTATGAACAATACTAAACGATGATACAATGTAAATAAGAGCCACCCGTCACCAAAACGGCAGGCAAAACCAATTGCATTGATCCTCAATCACGACGAAGTGAACCAAATCCATTACTCACCAGTGCCACCCAGGCATAGGTCTGCTGGGGGATGGACAGAAGGTAGATGATGAACTGAGCGAGTGAAATAAAACACAGGGTCACCGACACGAACAAGATCCATCCGTGGGCCAGCTGCGTGAGATACACCATGTTGGTGGCCGCAATCATGATCCACACCAGAGCTCCGAATATCTAGGGTGAGAAAACAATTAATGCCAAGTTAGTAGCATCACAACCGCCTCAAGTCCTGCACATTCATCATTTTTTTATATTTATTGTACTTAAATGTCCGTCGTTCTATTCCATTTTAGTGAAAAATTAAGCTAATGCCATTTTAAAAATGTGACTTGATGAGGTGTCTTCGTGCAAGTGCTACTGAGGCTCCTGCATTTGCATCTGTGGTTTCAGCCACCCGTGAATAAACTGGGTTATCATACGTGACGAGTTGATGGTCTTAACCCAATAAACCACATCGTGATCATTAGACTTGCTCTTTGCACTCCTGGATAAAGGTCTCCAAGTTGTTGCCACCCCACGCATTCCTGCATTCCTGCGATGCCACATATATCCACGTGGTGACAATGACTGCACATGAGTTTCGCACTAAAATTTTTTTTAAAATTACAGCTCTGAGAATGAAACAATTATGTTTGACTACCATATGACCAACATATAAGCAGGTTACGTGGTTACGTGGGGACGCGTAGAATCCCAATTGCAGATAAGGGCACACTTAAAAGGAACCTGTGGGGCAGCAGCCCATTTTTCTCGTTTGCCGATGTTGGAAGGTTGAGTTCGGCTGTCGCTCTGGTTAATAATTCAGGAGTATTAGCCATAACAAAAAAAATGTGCCGTCTGCTTCACGGTGGACGTTAAAATATCCTGTGACGTTACTCAAAAAAGAAAAAAGCCATGGACCAAATGTTACAGATAACTTGCCAACTAAGTTGATTTGGGGGGGGGGGACAAAGAAAACCCAAAGAAAAATCGCCCCCTACTGGCAGACCGATGCCCATTTGTAGGCCGGTGCTGTGCATGCCGTCTACCACAGGGACAGCTGCCACTGTTGGTCACCTTGGGTAGACTGCAGCAGGGCATTGGAATGGTTGAGATGTGATTAAAGGCTCTTTGCGTAACCGGGACATTTATGTACCCTCATCTGTAAATGCAAATTATTATTCTCCAATCAACAGCTTGGGGGTGTGACAGTTCCGAATGAACTTCTTCATCTCATTAAATGATGCGGTTAGCACAATTGTAGTTAAAACATTTTTTACAGTGTTTTCTACCCATGAAGGCCTTGCCACACCATGTAAGTCATGAGGGTTGTTGGACCGTATGTTACCACTGAGTGTTGTTATGAAAATTGAGAGGCAGAAAAAATGACAACAAAGCCATTGAGAATGTCAATTCAAATCCAATACATCTTAAAATAAACCACGGAGTTTGTACGTCCAGATATGCATCACAAACATGAGACAGAGAAAACAGAACCAACGCATGAACAGTATGCAAAGAGGCATGGAGAGGTGCATGCTTTGAATTACACAAAGACAAAGAGAACATCGTTCAGACAACATATACAAATTATACATCGTATTGAAAGCTTAAAATAAATAAAAAAATGGGAGGGGGGCGGGGTTGTTGGGCAGGGGCACGGCAGTGACAAGATATTAACTCTGTCGCCTGGTATATAGGAGGTCATTGGTTCGATCCCGACCCTGACACCTGTATATTTGGAGTTTGCAGCAAGATTTTAAAACAACGACCTTGCCATGGCGAAATGGGTAGCACTGGACTAGGCGAAATTTCTTAAATCGCTGCAACTCTGTCCGCCCTGCACTAATAAAATGGGCACACCACAGTTGATTGGCAGGTCATGTCTGGTGGGGCAAAGTGCGGGCACTCGTGCCTCTTGCAAAGCAGTTGGCCGGCTTGGAAGTGGAGGCCAAAATACGCTGTGAAGAAGGGCTCTCTCGAGAGCTGGCTCCAGTGGGGGTCCTTCCATCAGCAATGAGGAAATAATTGCATTGCTATATTGTTGCCTCTAAGTGGCGTCACGGTGGCAAGACGATTACTTCCTCGCCTGGTATACAGGAGGCGGTGGGTTCGATCCCGACCCTGACGCCTGGATATTTGGAGTTTGCGTGTACTCCCATTGGTCGCGTGGATTTGTATCCGGGTCCACTGGTTGTTTTCCCTCTACATTTTAGAAACATGCGTTGAGAGTTTTTGGCTGCTATACATTGCCACATAAGCCACTTCCTTAAGCCATCATGTGTGGCCAGGGCGATTCTGAAAAAATAGTTATGTAGCTCAGTGGGCCTTACCTGGTAAAATAACAAATAGCATTAGTCGTAGTAATAGTAGTAGGACACATGCGAGAAGGGATGATGGCTGTTAGTTGAAACTAACAGGCAGCTAATTGAGGATATGCGGCCGAGAGGATGTTTCACCACTGACGGAGGAGCGGTGACATTAACTCTCGTGCGGGAACTACTGGACATGGCTTATTGCATCACAAGGTCATCAAAAAAGCTGAGGGCTTGGGGTAGCCTTCATCCAGCATGAGCAAGATCAAGGCCAATGATGATGAGATATGCAACTGATTATGAATTTCCATGCAGAGAGCTGAAATGGTAAACCCATTAATTATAATTTATATTACAATCTAATATAATTGTACTTTAGATTTGTACCTGCTCAGTACAATGCAATTTCTGAACAGATGTACAGTAGTTGTAACCCCCAGACAGATGTATGCTTAAGGATCAGGGTGGAAAGAAACTGTCGAGGAGTAAAGATAATTGACAACCGATGGGAATGCAGCCCATATTGACAAGAGAAAATGTAATGTGCATCCAGTCAGACAGGTACAGCACAGCCGTCCGTGCACACTGTACTTCAGCATGCAATAAACATCAAAACAGGCTTTTCTTTAAAAGGAAGCTTTCCTTTCATCTTTGCAGGAAATCTATTGGCAAAATAACTCAAGTTGATTGTGCTCATTTCACAATTGCGTCTTATACTGGCATTTAAGGAGAATATATTTATATATTTATGTACGTGTATTTCGCCGGGGCTTGACATTCAACCTGCTCTTTACTGCAATTGAGAAATGTTAAAACAATTAGGAGGGTGACCAGCGGCACTCCCCTAACACCTGTTTATAGAGAATTTCATTCTATTTTAAAAGTATCCTGAGGCTGTTCTCACAAGCCTCATACCTAATTAACATATCCATCTCTCGACATAAAAACATAATATGAGTATTTATTACAAAACCCATCAGCCACATGGCCTTCCGGGAGTGCATCATTTCGGTAGCTTTGTTTCAGGAGCACCAAACGCTGGACCGGGTTTGACATCGGTATCTCATCAACACTCCGGCATGCCAAATTCGATGCTGATGAACTGCCCATCTTACAGGTAACGACCCTTTCCTCCCGATATGGGGTCCAAGTTTGGCAGGAAATTATATTAATATATTATGTATTATTTTTTGTCATACCTCGTGGATGGATGTGTTTATGCTTGAAAATAATTGCTTTATTTTGATTTAAAATGCATGCTTACTTGCTCAATTCAATTTCCTGTATTTTATGCGAGAGGCATTTATCTTTCTGTAGTCAAGCCCAGTGGCAATGTGGTAGGGCGCAAGTTTTGCTACCTTTGGGGTACCAAAAATCGGGACATATCATGGGCAGAATAATATCTCACAATACCAGAAGAGGGGATAATTACATGTCGTGTAAAATGCATTATCCTGAGTGGTGTATTCTTATGCAATTGACAATAACTGAGATTGTTATCGTCCATGGGAAGACTTACAGATTCATCAGCAAAGCGGCCTTAAATAAAAGATAATGATTCTGGGAACACCAGAACAGGCGGCAACCCTATACAATGGTCATCTCATTTGAGGTCGGTTCAGGCCATCATCTTTGGGGTCAATACAATGAGTGCACGAAGTCAGTGGCTGTCCAATGGAGTATCTGGCAAGGGTCATGAAAAACCACTTATGAGCATTTTGTGGTATTTAGCATCTACGCTTGTGTGGTTCTTGCTCAAGGAAATCCCCACCGAGTCTCAAGATATAATTTTAAGTATGGTTCTGCCATTTATTTGCAGTAAGGGTGCGATGTTGTCACATGTAATCCCAATTGAGTTATATGTTGGCAATTGTTCAGCATTGGGACGTTTGGAAAATAAAATATCACTTACATTGTAGGGTTTTTTTTGGTCAAAAACTTTGCAAACCTGGAGACAACTCGTGCCGAACAAGGGGAGAACATACAATTCCTCAGGCAGGTGGTAAAGTTGGAAACCATTGTATATTGTTAATGGTCGAGGTGATTTGCCTTACAAAGTCTACTGATAGACAGCTTGTTGCCAAAGTCTATAGTGTACAGTAGGGGTTAGAGTGGGATTCCTAAAAGTGAACCTTGCACTCCAGATAAATGCACGCCACCCTAAAAGGTGTTTTTTTCTCCCCCTCTATAGCTCAGTTGTTTTTATACGTTTGTCTAAACAAACAGTGCCAGAGTGTTCTTCCTCTCTAAAAATGCACCAAAAAGCGATTCTACTGCGAGCCGTGAAATGGCATGACTTTTTGTAAGAACATTAAACAAATGATCACCAGTGCTCTTTTTCTGCAACTGAACTAAGCTCTCCTTCGGCCAAGGCTAATAAAAGGAATTAAAAGTATTTCCGAGTATACAAACTTTTTTTTAACCCAAGTGCGTCTTTGACGAGCAATCGGACGATACGATACCATCACCTTTGGTGGCGTTTGAGCCAGCGGAGGAAATTCCACATAATCGTGACAAGTGCCAGTGTTTCTCCATAAGACAGTGACAACAACCACCGACTTATCTGGCAATTGTTTAATGGTCATAGATAATGATCCAAGTCCACACCCAACCAGGAATTTAACCCGCAAATCAGACGATTGCAAGTTAAGCACCATCTAATCACAGGAACACCCGGGCAGGTATGTCCCTTTCCACCACACTAAGCATATGGTTCACGTAGGCTTATAACATTAAGTCACCACTGATGTAATGATATACAGTATAATTTCAAGTTGCAAAATGTACCTATGCTGTGGCACACCACAACACTACCATAGCTGGACATTGCCTATCTGGCAAATGATCACCATTCAACATTACAGACAACAGTCAATTTCACCAATGATGCCCTTACAGACATCACCTATGCCAAGGTTGTCCACCTATACAGCAATAGGCAGGGATTTAAATGTAGCCCTGAGTGTTACCAAACACAACAAGAAAACTCAAAGGTTTCTGTGCTTTATTGGCTAAATTGAAATCCTTAGTATAAGTCCAGCTTTTATGACAATCCTAGAGAAAATAGTTTTCTCCAGCAATCAGCGATGCATTTCCATATGCATAGCCTTGTTTATGGTGTGCAATATTTTGAAAGGTTGACCCAAAACACGAGGACACTCAAATTGTCAACAAAAAGCGCATGATAATAGGGTTTTCCCCTTTTTCTTGCAACAAAACAGGTGTTATAGTGTTACAACACCAAACTGAAACCTTTTACAAGGAATCATGTCTGCATTCACCACAATGCTTGTGGTCAGAATACAAAAAAAAAACTGATAATATATGCATTAAATTTGTATTTAAAGCTTTCGTGACTGCAGGGATTCATATTCTTGGTTCTTTCGGTAAAGTCACGTAGAAGGGAAACAATAAAATAATAAAAAAATTTTATTATTATTAAAATAATATTATTAAAATAATAATAAAATATTTTTATCATTAAAATAATACAAAAAATATATTTTTTATTTTATTGTTTCCCTTCTATGTGACTTTACCGAAAGAACCAAGAATATAATATATGCATTGTCCACATGCTTTGTAATAGTTGCAATATGTAGGCTAAGCGTGGGCAACCACCACCTGGTCAGCATGGAAGAGTAGGCCAAATACATGGGAAAAGGTACCCCTTTAAATGAAAGCAAAAGGCGAACAAAGAAACCACACCTTAGCCTCCCAGAGCATCAGTCATGTTAACATCGTTTTCACCCATTGCATAATTTCCAAATTAAACGACGAGGCTTGGGTGTGGTGTGTGGTGACTGAATGCTCAACGACAGTAAACGAGATCGGGGGGGGGGTGGAGGGGGGCGCTGCAACTTCCATGCTTGGTTTTAAAAAAATAACTGAATACAAATGACCAGGGGTTATTTTTTTTAGTTTGGTAAAGTTTTATATTAAAATTAAACGTGGCCGTGTAAAGAACACAAAAAAAAACACATTTCCATTGTTCGTGGTCACTCAATGCGATAAGGTAACGGCTGGCGGTGTGAATGACAATTTCCGGACGAGGTATTGCCCCCAGCGTGTTCATTTCCAGTGCAATATTCTCAATGTCATTCCTTGTACGACTCCCTTCATAAGTTACGAGCATATTTCATATTATGAATGAACCTCGTTCTGAAAACCAAGTGCTCAAGGGGAGTGTTTGTTCTTAAATTGCATACGTTACATCCGTGTACAATACATTAAACCGAGGGAGGGAGGCGGATGAAGGCTTCTCTTTACGTACAGATTGCAATAACCAAAAAGCAGCGAACACACGAATCACAATCCCCGCCCGTTGCTATTAAACACATGGGCAGGTAGAAGGCACAACACCCATACAGCTGAATCGTTCACGCACCCCTTCCCTCCCCCCCCCCGTCCAAACGCAAACACGATCCCTCGGCTCCTTTACCCACCAGCTCTGGCATGATGAGAATCCCCGACAGCCTCCGACAGAGATCCCCACCGAGCGGTAAGTTGGGCGAGATGGAGGCCTGGCCATAGATATCCCCAGCTGAGGGGCCAGTGGTGGTGACAGGTGGAGGTGCATCCATGGCCGACTTATTCTTCTTCCTCTTCACGAGCCCTGCGAATCGCAACTGCTTCAGGTGATTATTGAGCTGCGAGCGAGCGAGAGGAGCGAGAGGGCCTCCGTGTGCGGTAGGGCACTTTGCCGATCCAAGAAGCCGCTCGGAAGCGGGTGGAGAGGACCGCCGACTTTACCGTGTGACTTGCAAGGAAGAGAGCCCTCTCCGAATCCTGAGCCAAGCCCTCTACGAATGATGAGCCAAGCGCTCCACCCCCCCCTCTCTCTCTTATAAGCTGGGTGTGCTCACGTTGTCCGACCTGTTCCACCTGTGTGGTCGCCCTTGCAAAAGTGCCGTTGCACAATGCCTAAGCAAGCACACGCCTCCAATCCCACCACCTCCTCCTCTCAGCTGCCAGGGGCAACATCGGCAGGTCCGCCCACAGTCATTCCTGAATGCTTCCACGACTCTTGTTTGCCAAGGGAAGCCTAAATGAGTCTCTCGGCTGTTTTTTAGGATGGTCCTGCCAAGTTTTTTTTTAATTTGTTGCAGTGGTTGCGAGTGGAGGGATGTTGCTGCTGCTGCTGCCGCCGCCTGTAACCTCATTTGAGCAATAATAGGGTTTTCCCCTTTTTTTTCTGGCAATAAAACTGAAACCTTTTTTTACAAGGATTCATGTCTGCATTAACCACAATACCTGCAGTCAAAATGCAAACAAAAACATACTATGATAATATATGTGGCATTGTCCTTGAAACTGATTGGTACACACCAAGGGACGGCTTTCTTTTGAGCCTCGACCCAATTGGTGCTCGACCAGATGACGCCAAAAGGTGTACAGCTCAAAGACAATGCCACTATCAACGTAATGAGGGCTCGGGGTGAGCATCTACATCATTTGAGCAATTTGAAGGTGGTCGTTCAGCATTGGGATGTTTTGGCCAATACCAATTGTAGGTTATTTTTTTAGCTATGGGAGGATACCGGAGAAAACTCATGCAAAGAGGGGGAGAACATACAAACTCCGCACTAAGGGTGCCCAAGTCGGGAATCGAACCCAGGCGCTTCTTGCGATGAAACACGATTGTTACCACTGCCACACCCTGCCGCTTGCACGTGGTACAACGACTCATATCGAAAGTAACTCACATCGAAAGTAACCTTCTACGTGACTTTACCGAAAGAACCAAGAAGAACAATAACAGTATTATTTTTCAAGAACCATTCAGGTTCCCCTGTTACAGTCTCCTTCGGCTCTTCGCCAATTCTCACAACGCTCTCTCTACAAAGGTCCTCCCTGCCGTTTGGAAAACACGTGGAGGCCGTTGTGTGCCCGGTCTGGAGGAGAGGCCGTATATGCGGAAGTTTCTCGAAGTGGCATTCCTTACCGGAATCGGAATCCGAGACTATCTCTCCGTGTGCTGGGGCATTGTTATGCAGAAGCAAGGGGTGTGCCCTTCATCTTTCGAAGGGGGCTTTTTTTTATTCACTAGAGCAGTCGGTGCATTAAGTCTCCATAATATTGACCTGTGGTTGTCTCCCTATGAGGCGTGAAAAGTCAATAAACTGCCAAACAATTGTGCACATGATATTGCCCGCAGATCACTCTGACTTGAGTTTATTTGGTTATTTGAGAAGTCTGATGTTTCCACTGCTGCACTGTGGTTGGACTCGGAGCCGGAATAGTAAAATCTGGGTCACATTCCTGGGAATTAATCGCCGCTTAAACTTGTCCCCAGCCGCCTTCATTAGGTCAATATCGTCGTGAGAAGTTATCACGCTGGCAATCTGTGCACGCAACGTGTACATTTCCAAATGATCGTGCAGAATTATATATACGGACCCCACACTAATGCCTCAGGTATCACTGCTGTCTTTCAAAACCATGTCTCCCACAGCCAGTATGATTGTCTCACTCATCACAGTCGCAGGCTTTCCTGACCTGGGCTCATCTTCAAGAGCCTTTCTGCTCCGACGAAATTCTGCAGCATACATTCTATTTCGCGCAGTGGTTCATTGACCTCATACACTTTCAAACGGCATTCAAACAATCCTTTGGTTCGGTATTCTAAAGTGTAAAATATGCAAAGACAGCATGTTGCTTGATTTTCTGTTTTTGAAGATCCGCCATGTTAAACCACTGCTGGTTGAAGGCCTCCCCCATGCTGTTTTCATCATCGGGGTTGTTTCACCATAATTCAACTCTCTGGTCAGTGTGGGTTGGTGAAGTGGGTGACATGACCGGTTCAGATATCACTTTCCGCTGATGTTAGCCATGGCCAGGCTTCGAACGCAGGCCATTGGGTTCTTCCCCAGCACCTCAGATTAACGCGGTTGATTAAGTACGGTGCGAAAGAAGTTCAACATACATACATAGCAGCATAGCACTATAACTCCTGTGTCACCACTGCACCTTGCAATAGACGAAGTATAAATACTCTTAAGGGACAAATCAACCAATAATATTTTGCCCTGAGAGTTTGAGTATCATCAACGTGTACTATAAGTAGCTGCTTCATGCAGCCCCAATTATCACAATTGGCTGTGTACGGTGTCAAAGAAGTTCAAAATACATACATTGCTAATGGTTGCTGACATCTCATCTTCTATGAGTTTTTGTACCGCTTACATTTATAATTAGAGCTCCATATTCAAGAATGTTCGCAACATACTGTGGCTTCGTTGCTCCTCTCCTAGACAGAACAAAAACATAGTGTGTGTTATTTGTGTTGTGTTTTGCAGTTGTAGGGAAATAAGATATATTGTCGTTATTTGACTGGTGTTGTTAGTTCACTTAAAGCATTGGGAAATTCCTCAAAAATGCTGTCCCGCATTATTGCCATCAGGCCTTGAAGGAGGGAAAGATATCTTCAAAATAAAGGTGAATGTTACCATTAGTTAATATTTAACTTATCGTTTGCACATTTTGGTGAGGTAGCATTGATAGAAAGTGTCGTAACTCAATGTCACATGCCATGCAAATTCATTTTAGATTTCAACCACACACTATTGAGCGCTCTGTTTATTGTTCGAGAGATTAAAAAAAGTTAATGTGATTTCAGCATAAGAGTTTAAAAGGGCGTATACTAGGCTTAAAAGTATTGGCATATACCAGGCTTAAAAGTATGGGCGTATACCAAGCCGTTAAGTATTCCCCACGCTCACTTTTAACGCATGCGCTTTAAACAAGTAGCTGCTGTGATTCGCTGGAAGGAGTGACTTTTAAACTACCTTGCAAAGCAAACATTCTCCCACAAATATTGCACAATGTGGTCCGTCAAAGCTGTAAATAAGGCATAATGGACGTTTGCATTTTGTGTGTGTCATTCTTCAAAATAACTGAGGCTGTTTGGAAACCTCAATGTAACCTGCCAATTTTTTGAAAGCCAGTGAGTTATGCAACATCCTACAGACATGTACAACTACTCAGGGATACGATCTACAAATCACGAAGTGACAAATGAAAATTGTGGGTGGAACGGTGGCGCACTGGTTAATGCACCTCCGATTTGCATGGGTTGGCTGCGTATGGTGTGAAAGAAGTTCGGCATACACACATAGTGGGCCGTGCGAGGAACCCGATGACCTCAGTTTGGTGCTACGGTGGCGAGATGTTAACCTCCTTGCCAGGTATGCTGCAGGGCGTGGGTTCGATCCCGACCCTGGCGCCTGTATATATGGAGTTTCCATGTTCTCTCCGTGGTCGCGTGGTTTTCTCCGGGTCCTCCGGTTTTTCCCTCCACATTTAGGGACATTTGCTGAAGAGTAGTTGGTTGCTATACATTTCCACATGATAAGCCACTTCGATGGGCTCTCATTTGTGGCCAGGTTGCTTCTGCAAAACGACTGTATAGTTCAGTGGGCCTTCCCTGGTAAAGTAAAAGTTTAATTTTATTTTAATTTAAAACTTTTTTTAATAAGAATCCTGGCCAGGGCTAACAACATTGGCAAATGATATCTGAACCAGTCCAGGGGTCAACCACCTTCACCAACCGACACTGGCCAGCTTACTGAAGTATGGTCAAACATCCCCCATTCACCAATACGGTGTGGCAAGGCATTCATCCAACAGTGGATTGACAAAAGGACTGTAAATTATAACTATTTTATTCTTGAAATATTGGTACAAATATGCCATACACAGTGTATTTAAACAAATATACTTTTTCGTACTACAAACATTAAGGTCATGGCTTCACAGGAATATAATGTCATAAGGTGAACATTACGCCAATGTAATTATTCCACTGGCAAAGCAGTTGTGGAGGGACCCATGTTTGTGGTATCAAATGATAGTGTTTAATAATTCAGCACTGACACATCACGCTCGAACGCAGTACTTTGTAACCACTGGTGCGACGATTGTTTCAGTGTCTAATACAAAGCCAACGTGACAAACGCCAGCTTTTTGGTTGTTTTAAATTTTTATTTGTTTCCGTTGTCAAAAAAACATGGTACCTTTGCTAACAATTCACATCATTGTTTCGTTGGTCTCAAGAGTCGATTGATGGGAACCCACAGGGATGGTTTTATGTTTCGTGCACTCGTTTGGAGGGGGGTGGGGGAAGGGGATGGGGGTGAGAAGGGGGGTAGAGGTGAGGTAGCTGGGGGGGGGGGGGGTGATCTTATATGGGTGGGGAGCGGTAGTGTAGTGGTTAGCGCGCTGCGCTCACGGCCAGCACCAGTGACGATTATCTGAACCGGTCCTGGGCCTCCCCTAGGTCGATTCAGCCTCAAATGAGTACCTGCTGCGGAGTGTAAACATTGCAACTGGGGAGACAAAGGCGGCCGGGCGTGGTGCTGGCCACCCACCCCCTCGTGTACCGTTCCGGCCTTCATAGGTGCTCGCTAACAGCACTTGCCCCTCCAGTCTGTTAAGGCTATACGGGGGATCTTTGTGTTTTATCTTATACGGGAAGCGGGGGGGGGGGGTCTATATTCCTAGAGGTTTGGGTGTGGGGCACAGATTACGATTATTCTGGTGACACCAGCTTTTAACAATAAGAATGGACAGCAGAGTCGATGTATAGCCACATAATTTATATTGAAGCGTGAAACAATGATGGGATAGATTATTAACCCCCCCCCCCCACACACCTCTCTCTACCCAGCACTATAAATGGGTACAGTCGGCAGGTCACATGTGGTGGGATATATGGTGGGTACTACTACCTCTTACAAAACATCAGCGAGCGTGGAAGAGTAGACCAAATACCCTACTCGGGTGCTCAAGACCAGGGGTCCCCAACCCGCGGACCGGTAACCGGTCCGTGGCCTGTTAGGAGCCGGGCCGCACAACAGCAGCAGCAGGAGGTGAGAGCGGTGAGTCCGCACGTGGAACCAGCCCCCATTATTTTATTATTCACCCGCGCCTCTTGCCCGCACTGCGCACTCGTCTCAGTCACAGTTGTGATAAGCCCACAAGCTAACCCGAGCCAAAATGAGTAAAAAAATAAGTAATGTTTAAAAAAAACTTTTTAAAAAACACACTTTCATGAAATGCACCGTACAGTCACATAGGCACTTTAAGATGTTTTCTTGTTCGTGTTTTTGTTTTTTTGTTTGTTGCGGTTGCACCCGATTCAAGAGCCGAATGGCTCACAGGGCAATACCAAATAAATGGAACTATGAACTAACTCGTAATGGCAGAACTCCACGACTCCAGGAAGTGGCCCCGAAGCTTGCCATAACGTAAGGGGGCCGTGGTGATTTACAGCCAACGTTAGTTGAGCGTGGACAATTAGACCCAAGCCGAAACATAAGCTATAAAAAATAATGTTTAAAAATATATATAAAATTATGATAGAATATAGTATTGTCATCAGTATGACATAAGTATACCAAGTTTGTAGTCGATGCCCCATTGGGAAGTGGGTTAAAATTGAGTTACAAGATTTGAGGATACAACAACAGAGTTAATGAAAAGCGTTTAAATAATAATAATAAACGTCGCTGGAGAGCTTCTTTGAAAAGGGGGAAAGACCCAATGATGAACCCCCCCACGGTCCGTGAAAAAAATCGTCTTCCACGAAACCGGTCCCTGGTGCCAAAAAGTTTGGGGACTGCTGCTCGAGAGGGAGGGGCTCCATCTGAACCTTTTAACTTTGTAAGCAATTATTATCCAACGCAAACAATTGATCCATAGTCTACACAAAGCATCCATGTATTTCATTTTCAATTAAGCTGCTTGATAAATGGCTTGAAACTCAGCTCTAAGAGACCTCTGGGGCTGAGGTGAGTAAATCATTAACGTTTTTATTAACACTAAATACTTTCATTTTATACGGCATCCTGTTCCCACAGAATCCCACTTTAGCGTGCTGCTCATTGTGGGTTGATGATGTGGCGGTTTCCCAGGATCGAACTCAGGTAGCCAGGTTCATAGTGCAGTGCACGTGCTAACTAATGTGCCACTGCTCTACCTGACTTTGCATGAATGGGGAAGACATGTAAAGGCACACATTTGTAAAGTGTAAAACCCATTAATCCACGTAACCAAGTGGCGTTCGTGATAAGAAGTGGGTAAACCAATTCTGACACTTTATGTAAATCTTGACAAATTCGCTTGATGAAAAAGTTTGCCAAAACTGTTCCCGTAGTAATCAGGCAGGGCTTGGCTGCATTAAGCCCCTGAGCCCCAAGGCAACGATGGCTATACTGTCGTGTACTGATGATGTCTAACAAGGATGAAACCAGTGTACAGTTGTCTCATTGCCCTGCTGCTCTATGAAATAATATGGCGACATTTTGGTTATTTTTTTGAGTTGGTCGTCTAAATTCACGCTATTTGCAAAATTCACGCGGTATGGCGATGTCACCTGCCATGCAAGGCATCATGCCAGGACTGATCCAATGGTCACGGGCACTACTTTTGCAGTATTGTGCCCCATATTTGACATCTACACTCAGTTCGGTAATAATCTTATTCCCTGCAATTACATATATACACACACACACATACTGTAGACAATACGTTCGTGTGTTAAAGACGAGCCCACGTGTTTTTTTTGCGTTTTTAACTCACACTAAGGTGTGTATGTGTCAATATGTGGCCTCCCAAATATGTTCGAAAGTCCTCATTGAGGAAACGTATCCTGATCCCTGGCAAAATGGATTTGTTTAAATGCACAGTAAATTCTCCCCCCCCCCCCCACCACTTTCTCTGACGAGTCCCCTGTGCCTGATACCGCCAATGCCCCAGTAATTCCGTCTGGAACGTCAGCATGTTGCAATGTATGCTGTGAGGGAAGACGTGGAATAAAACATTTTATTTAAAAAAAAATTACACAGTACAACATAAATTCACATATAAATACATGCCTAGATGGAGTCAAACCGGATTTTTTTTTTTAAAAAAATGTATCCAAACAACCATAGAAAATTATTTGACATGCATGAACAATGCGGAACAACAGCATCCACTACATACCGCGGTTTATTTTATAGATTTAAGTATGCGAGGCATTTCGAAACTGTTCAAAGAGTCGCAGGGGTCGACAAATGGAACGCGACGTCGGTCCGCGTTACGTTTATGGTCACAATCGCGGGTTTTTTTTTTTGTTTAAACCGTGTAAATGTGTATGGTTGATGGTGACGGAAAAAAATTGATTTGTGGCGCAAGATTAGAATGCCTGGGGGCCGGCATCGGTGAAACCCGACTGGAGGTGATTTCTCGATTATCTGGGGGCAGGACTCGGCAAGCTGTGGCTCCGGACCCGACTTGCGGCTTTCGTGACGTTATTCACGCGCATCACGGCTCTTGAAATATTGGGGGGGGGGGGGGGGGGGGGGGGGGGTTTCGTTTGTTTTTACTGAATTATTAAACAAACAACGTCTCGTCTTGTTATTTCGGTTGTGGAACCCCTGATCTGGAGGTAATGGCAGGGGAAGCAGCCTGGATAAAACAAAAGCACAGCAAATGCATACACACATGCATGTGTTCTCTTATGTCGGTGTACTGCATGCTTTAACAAATGTATAATGCTGTTGCTGTGTTATTTTGCTATTGGCAAGAATATATTTGGTCACAACATAGCATGTTCCTCTCTCATATAAATGACTCCGAAAGCACTTATTTAAACTGGAAACAAATGTTGATTTAAAAGCTTTCGTGACTGCAGGGATCCATATTGTTGGTTCTTTCGGTAAAGTCACGTAGAAGGGAAACAATAAAATAATAAAAATATAAAACAATAAAATTCTCACATATGTATTTAAGGTCGGCTGTAAAACCATATGTATTGTGTCGCTCTGTAGAATGCGGGTGAAGATAGAAGATGTGTGATCTATTATTATTATTGTTAATTCAAATGTTTACTTGCCGGAACGTCTGTGCCCATGTGGCCACCAACCCACAGACTCAAAAAACAAATACATAATGTTTCATCAGAGCATGTGTGATAGGCAAAAAGAGCACAGTTAATCGAGAGGTATCTTTCGTTTATTGAGCCAGCTCACTGCTTTTAATGCAACACGATAGGCCAGTTCAGATCTTTATGGACCAATAGATACAGAATTTTTCTGGTAAAAAGAAAACACTTTTTAATTACAATAAGATTTTGATTTAAAGCTTTCGTGACTGCAGGTATTCATATTCTTGGTTATTTCGGTAAAGTCACGTAGAAGGGAAACAATAAAATAATAAAAATATGAAACAATAAAAAATTATCACGACGTTTCGACTGCAACACAAGCAATCATCATCAGGTGTGAAAACCACAAATGTTCTTGCTGTGGTTTTCACACCTGATGATGATTGCTTGTGTTGCAGTCGAAACGTCGTGAGAATTTTTATTGTTTTATATTTTTATTATTTTATTGTTTCCCTTCTACGTGGTGACTTTACCGAAAGAACCAATAACATTGCCAAGGTCGTGCAGTGGCACAGTCATTATTCAGGCACTGCGCTATGAGCTCAGCAATCTGAGCATGATTTCCAACCATGGCTATAGCATCACCAACCAAACATTAACCAAGGGCGGTGAAGTACGGTCAAACAACCCTTGTGACTAACAGAGTGTGGGGAGGCCTTCAGCAGAGGATTGACAAATGGGCTGTAACAGCAACATTTCACAATAAGCTTAATGGAATTATTGTAAATACAAGTTTTCAGAAGAACAATCCTTACTTGGCCAAAAAGCATAGTGCAAAGCATAGTGCAGAGCAGTGCTTGATAGTTACTGCCTGCCTTAGACAATCTATTATTCGACTACTGTACTTGTGCTAAGCTCTCTGTATCAGTGGTTGAAACTGATGTCACATCACCAGACCAACTGATCACACAAGATGCATTGCAAAGCACGTCCTGCGCAGCAGGCATGCAAAAAAACTCATTTGCACAATGACGATTGTGATGCAATAATTCACCATTCCTGTACAACGGGATGGGGAACTTACGGCTTGGGTTGCCACCTTTTCCACAGATCAAATCCAGACATATTTCTCAGTCTCAGTTTGCCACCTGTGTGGGTTTGACACGGACAGGTGGTAACCCTACCTGTGGCCCTCGAGTCATAGCCGCCCGTGCGACTTCATTTCCTATGGTAGGCAGCCACACGACGCCTACCACTTTAAAAATGGCCCTAAAGCAACAACAAAAAAACAACAACTACTCAGTCTGTACGTATGTATGTTTAACTTCTTTCGCACCGTACGTAGCCAACCGTGCTAATCGGAGGTGCTGGGGAAGGACAGCAAACTAAACACAAAAAGCAGTTCTAAAGAAATTCGTTTTCAATCTAGATGATTTAAAAGTGCACAGCTCCAGTGGCTTCCTAACATCGGAAGAAAGAGCATTCCAGACGGCCGCAGAAGCGCACACAAAAGCGCGATGCAGTGACCGTCTTTGTTCTATGGCGAGCCAAAAGCGAGGATGAGCGGAGTTCGCGTCATGGTTTATGTTCCTTGACGAGGTCAGCGAGGTATTGTGGTTCATTTGTGGGATGCACTTTGTGTCTACTTGGAGACTGTGACCAGACATCAATGTTTTCCCCGAGAGGAAATCGTGAGCGGGCGTGGTGTTATTGTGTTTACTGCGGTAAATGCATTATTATTGTATAACAACAGAGACAGAAAAAGCGTGTTAATGTAGGGTCTGCCAAAAGGTATTTGAAAGTCCTATGCAGTAAGAACAACGTTCCCCACCCCTGCTGTAAGCCGTGGCTAATTCTGGCACTGTACAAACCCAGTTTGGCAACCCAGCAGTACATTCCAAATAAAGCAATACCAACAGACGTAATCTATTTTTTTATATATACCAAGGCCACATTTATATATTTTTACACACGGTGCACTCACTGGGGCGTTGCCCATCCTGGGGTTGAAATCTATCCTGCTTTTCCCAAAATTGTCCTCTTTCTTGAGGCGATAGCTTGTCGTGGGAAAATTATAAGTCTTCTCGGGACATTCATGGTGCCGGCGTCCACTCAAAAAATGCATTAACGTGCAGTTCTCCGCCCTTCTGTTATTCTGAGATATTATTCTTCCCGTGAATTGCCCACTTGTTTTTGTACCTCAAAGGTGGCAACCCAATCTCATCCCCAATGGTGGCCCTGAGTCAATTGTGACAACTCCACGTTTCTATAGAATGGTCAAGTCTCTCCACACAACAACCACTGCTGACTTCCCACAAAGTGGTACCTATTTTATTAACCTCAGAGTAACCCCCCCCCCCCCCCCAGCCAGGTTTTGTACTCACAACCTTCTCACAATTGCGAGTTGAACATCCTGCCACAATGCCACCCAAGCAGATGGATAAAATAAACAGGGCTTCATTTCAGCCAGGTCTGTTTGGGCCAAGGACCCGGAAAATAGTTCGGGACACGGCACATCACATCCAGTATGCATCATGTCATGGCTGCGATTACTAGTTGTGTGCCACTCGCTAGTCCATTGGTGATGCGGAAAATATTTGTTTGATAAATTTAGCACTGAATATAAACACACACATACCGTTAAAGGTGTGCGCGTTAGGTATGAATGCACGTATGTGTGTACGTACGTATGTGTGCGCGCGTGCATGGTTGACACGCCAGTGAGTGTACTGCCACCCACAAGCACGAAAAGGCTAAAACAAAACCTTCGTGCGAGAGCACGCTAGGGCCAATCCGCCTTGCCAATATGATGCACATGGAAAATGGCAGGCCAGGTGTGTTCACGTGAAACAATGCACGCACAGTAAGGCCCACTACACAGAGGACTATGCATGGATCACAGTGGATGCTGCTTGCTCAAGCGAGCACTCCGCCGGTGTTCATCTCCATTGGTGCTCCTGAGCCAGTCGTGGGTCCACTGTCCTGTGGACATGGCCAGATAATTATGCACGGAAAGGCAACTTGTCCACTTTGACTTCAAACAACGTCGTATACCATAAAGAATTAAAGCTTTCGTGACTGCATGAATTACTCAGTGGTTTTTTCGGTAAAGTCACGTATGTGGAAATATCCTAAAATTTCCACATACGTGACTTTACCGAAAAAAAACATTGAGTAACGTCGTATACGCTTTAAAATCCACCACCAAACATCGTTTGGAGAGATCCATCAAGTGAAATATTCCTTAAGGTGCAATGACGCATTGATTAATGGATGAATAATGATTCTTAAGTTCACAATACACGCATCAAATCGTGTCTGTAAGAGTGAATGTTTTTTTCCATCCGGATATATTTTGTTTGTAATAGGTTCACGTGTATCCTCCAGCCACGAGAGACCGCTTCAATCACCGCAGTGTAATAAAACCCAATTCTAATCTTGAGTTGCATGGAACATTGCGAGGCAGGCGAATCGTTACAGCCCTACTTATTAGCGAGTTGTGCCAATATAGCCGTGCAAACATGCGCACAAGGGCACGCCGCTGTTGCTTTTCACCGTGTCATACGAAGTACGCCGCTAAATACACCGCACACGAATGCATGGAAACGTGCACACAAACCATTCTTCCTTAAACCTTTTAGGCACCATTAAATTCCAGCCCGACTGTTTCTATAGGACCTATACAAAGCTGCCTACTGAGCTCAGCATGCCGAAGGCACCTGGTAATATGTATATATGGCTCTTTATAGAAGATGGCTCTTGGCCAACAAAGATCACAAAAACCCACCTGACTTCGACCGCCCTCAACGTCACGGTAGAAAATATGAAAACAACCAGAAGAATGGTGCAATTCACATGTGCAAGGACATTGGTCTTCATAACACCACAACGCCGATAGAGCTACAAAGTCCCAGGATTTTGGGTTATATCTGAAAAGAAAAGGTCACTTAAAAATACAAAATCAGAACTTATCGTGCAGTAAACGATGTTTCACTTTGATATCGCAATGTGTGGTATGCGGTGTTGGCTGTTTAAAAATATTTTACCATGATGAGGTCAAAGCACCCATTCTTGTCAGATTATAATTGGATTACGCAGATTTTATGGTGTTGTATAATAAATGCAAATTAGAAAGTAGCATTTATGTTTCTATAATAATGTCATACCAAAGTATGACTTTATAGACTGTGTAAATTACTTTTGTAAATTACTTTCGCAAGCAAACACCATCACTGTATTAAATAATAGCAAATATAACCCTTTGTCAGTCCACTGCTGGATGAAGGCCTCCCCACGCTATTGGCTTCTTTGACCATATTTTAACACCGTTATCTGCATGGGATGGTGAAGGAAGGATACCCAGGCCTGGTTCAGATTATCACCTGCCACCAATGTCAGCAGTGGACCGGAATCAAATACTGTACCTCGTCTCCAAGGACAACCATTTTGAGTCAACTCGAGTTTACCTGAACTGAAAGGACAATCTCATTTGGTAAAAAAAAAGTGGTGTTACCATGATTTTCCAATACGGGAGCTGGGCAGGTCTTTCCCCAGAAATAAGTAAGGCTTTCCCATAAATTATTGCGAGTAGAAGGTCAAGACCACCTTGTTGACAAAATTTAATATTTAATGTTGAGTATAAAAAGTCAAAAGAGGAATATCTGCTCAGCCCGAACTCTGACATAGGTAATTCAACTTAGCCTGTAAAGCGAAATGATAAACTATTATATTTTTTTACAAGGTAAGGCCCACTGAGCTATCTAGCTCTTTTTCATAAGCGACCCGACCATAAATTAGAGCTCAACAAAGTGGCTTATCACGTGGAAATGTATAGCAGGCAAATACTCTAAACGCATGATTAAGTGAAAGCGGTAAAAACTCAGGTCGCCGGGTTTAGAGCACTCGGTGCACGAATCATTGCATGACCACTCCCTCTCTATGCTTAACCAACAGGGAACCAAGGGCTTAACGTGCATGCCAGGACATAGTACCCAAGTGCAAAGGTTTGTTTAGATGAATGGCAGTGTTATGCAAGCCCAATATCAGAGGAAGGAGAATTTGCTGGAAACCAATGCATATAGCAATTATGTAATTGGAAAAAAATGATTTTTGTTAAATATATATTTCCGTGCGACATGTGTTAAGGTACTGAGGGGTTTGACATCAGCTGCCTTTAAAAGCGACTAATTATTAAAAAGTTCATGAAAATCTTAGATTTTGGCAGTCAGTGCCATTCGTGCACATTAACCATTTTTCACACGCGGCTACAGCGATTGAACATCATAAGGGGGCAGAGTAGTAGCACATTGGTTCGCAACGCTGCACTGAACTCCAGCCTCCCGAGCTCAATTCCTGGCCATAGCTACCAACATCAGTAGCGGGTGATATCTGAACTGGGCCTGCCCCCCACCCTCTACACCAACCAGCAGTGACCAAATGCAGTGAAGTGTGTTCAAGACAAATCAACGTGCTGGCAGTTCACGAAGAAACCATCACCCAGCAGTATATTCACGCAGGAATGTACTTTTTTTTAAACCCCTCCAAAACACGAGCGGAATTCACCGATAAGGAACACAGTTCTAACTGTGCAGGAATTTCAGAAGGCAGTGGGTCGAGTGGGATTTGTTAGCAGGGACCTCTGTGCGATGCTTTGAGGGAGCCTTGGTGGAGAGTTTTCTCAGTCCCTGTGCCAAGGACAGAGAGGAGAGCACCCTTGAGTCTGAGTGTTTGGGAGAGGTGGCTGCTGAGAAGTGTCGCGGTAGAAGAGAGTTATCTTGACAAAAGCAGCAGCAGCAGCAGCAGAAAGATGGTGATCGGGCACACCTAATGGGCGAGACTGTGATTAATGACGCGGCAAGAGTTTCCGAACTTCCTACAAGATTGTCAATGGAAATTAACCAAAGGTAGAGTTTATCCGCCGTTTGTGAGCGTCACGGCTTGTCGGGGCTCTCCGAGGCTTGACTCGCCGCTTTAATCGCGCCAGTGCCTGCCGTTGTGTCTTTCCACCTCTTGAGGCTGATGAGGAAACTGAAGCCGTAGAGTGTCACCACCGCAAATATAAAAACCTGTGCAAAAGAAAACGGCAACATGAACACAGCATTAACCCCCCCTCCCCGCTACACACAAAAAAATGTCGCAATTCAAATATACATAACTTCGTATGTCCCAACCGTTACATATCCGCCCTGGCCAAATTTGCCACCCACACTCGGTGCAGTATTTATCCGTGGCGAGACTGTAATATGTGGGTAATGTTACCCCGTGAACATTCACCCCGATAAAAGGTAACAGTACATAATTGTTTCCAATGTGTAAAGCGATCCGCATTGAATTTTTGTCATCGATATTTATAACGTAGATAAGCATGACAATGTTTTTTTTGTTATCAGGGTTGCTAAGTACAGGTCAACATGGCTCAAAAGATTAAGCGCCCAGCAACAAACAGCACTATTGCAGTTGTCATAGATAAGAGTCAGAGTAATATGTTTCTTGAATGGAACAAGTTTACAGCAACTTTCGAAAAGAGACAATGGGAAGGAATTACAAAGTTGAGCAGTGTAAGGAAAGGAGCAGAGAGAGAGAGAGAAGTGTTTGGCTGACTATGTTGACGTTGACTTCTCCAAGACGGAGGTTCTCTGCAAGCCATCTGGCTATCATGCGAGATTCGTTCATGAGGCTATCCACATATACAAACACAGAGACAATTTCAACCGAGAAGATGGATTCTGGCTTAGCAATCATTGGAAGGATGTGATAAACCATTTCGGGTCTTAATTGATTGTTCACGCTTACGGTGGCTTTCAGACCGCATCCATTATTTTCGTCTCCCCCCTCCTCTTTTCCGAACATAGGTGGACTCGTCCATCTGAATAAACTGTCAAATCGCTCTCCGTGGTGCTAACGTTAAAAAACGCCACTTTTTTCAAATGTTCTTGCTGTGGTTTTCACACCTGATGATGATTGCTTGTGTTGCAGTCGAAACGTCGTGAGAATTTCATTGTTTTATATTTTTATTATTTTATTGTTTCCCTTCTACGTGACTTTACCGAAAGAACAAAGAATATGAATCCCTGCAGTCACGAAAGCTTTAAATCAAAAGATGTTGATGTCCTTTAAACTAAGATAATGTACTAAGGAGATACTTACGGTTGCTGCGGTATTGAGCCTCAATCGTAAATCTTGTGAGCTCCCCGATGCAGTGAAATTCGCCTGCAGAGTTGCTGCACTGAAGTACAGAGCAAAAGCTGCACCATAGTAGGCCGTCTCCTGCACGAGACACGTGACAACAATGTCAGATTCAGTATTGTGCCAATCACTCGACAGCCGACTAATTCCACAAAAAAAAGAGTATTTGTCTTAAACCATTGTGAATATATACTCTTGCAAAATAATGTTCAGGCCTGCGGGCTTTTGTCAATCTACTGCTGGATGAAGGCCTCCACACTCGGGTTGCCACCTCTGGAGTACAAAACACCGGGACATGTCATGGGAAAAATAATATCTCACAATACCAAACGTAGGGAGAACTACATGTACAGTAAACGTATTCACATTTTCCTACTTAGTTGGAAATAATAAAAAAAACAATTATTTCAAACAATAAATACCAATCAACCCGAGTTTCCAATTTTAATTATACAAAACACTTAATTACATGACAGTAGGAGCGCAGTCTGGTTGAATTGGCGTTCGTAACCGTAAAAAAAAAAACTCTCAACAATTAAAATTGTCGGGACTATATTGCGACTCCTGACACCGTCATCATCTGTAAACTGGGTGAGTGAAGTGCGAGAAGGCGAATCGCTCACCAGGCAAACCCACGCGATCGTCTGCTCGGGGATGGCCAGCAGATAGAGGGTGAGCTGTGCCATGGAGCACAGGAAGACGGTCACCGACACGAACATGACCCAGCCCTGGCTAAGCCGAGCTTCGTGTGGGATCCCAGTGCCCGCTACGAGCAAGCACACCAGCAAGCCTAGCACCTGCATGAAAACCAGCGTTAGTTCTTTTCTTTCTGCCGCTCATTTTTCTGTGTATTGTTTCAAGCCACGATCTCGTTCAAGGGCTCTAGGATGCCTCTGGGACTCTCATTGTTGCTGCCCTGGCTGCCCCCCCCCCCACCGCCCCGTACCCGTGGATCACCTGGGGTTCGTTGGTGCTGCCCTGGCTGCCCAGGCCCGCCCATAAATGCCCTGGGACTCGTTGATCCTGCCCCAGATACCTCTGAGAATGATCATTATTGATGCTTAGCCTTGGTTCCTCAATCTCTGGTTGTGCCACATTGTTGCACTCGCACCTCTCTCTCAGATTTCCTTGGCTTGACACCCGCCACGCCTACCACCTTCTTCTGCTCTTACTCAGTTTCTTCTCTGCCTCTTGAGATGCGGTTGCATTCAGACACAGTATCAGTCAAAATAATTGTTTTTGTAGATGTTTATGAAATCTCAGCTCGTTTAAGCGAGTGGAGATGACATTTCATTTCCAAGGATCGTTAGGATTCCTGTAATTTTTTGCTTTTGTAAGGCACAACTTTGCGTATATGTTCTCTTGCAAGCGCTGTCAAAAAGCCAAAATATCAACATTTTTCAATGCAGTATTGGACTGCACTCCTCACCATTGGTGGCCCAATATTATGGTAATTTAAAGGGGTTGATAATCCACATTCCTACAATTCGAGAGGACAGTGACAAAACAAGACATTGTGGAACCCAAATGGACGATGGGCTTTGCAAATTCCGAACAAGGTCATTGCGTGGTTGATGAAGCCAGATGGGGAATCCAGGACTGCCCAAGCTGTGAATGCGGTCAGGTCCAGATTATGACAAATTGTGGTGGAGGAGGGGGGAAGAAGGGGAGGAGGAGGGAGTAAGATTGCCCTATGACTCGACTGGATGGAGGACAGAGCACTGAACAATGCAGACGACGTACTGTCGTCACCTGGCTCGGCCAAGTCGCATACACTAGAAGAATTCCCAACTGGGATTTGAACTCTCGATCTACCGCCTATCATTCGAACGTCCTTGCCATCGTGTCATTGGTGTCACTCGGAGGAATGTTGGCGTGGGGCCCATCAGTTCATCTGCGCAAATACTGCCTGTGTGAGTCCCTGCAAGGCCTATTGTGATGGTTAGTTACGAACAAATATGGTCGGTGTTAAAACTACAAATGTTCAGTGATAAAATAGGAGTGATTATATATTTACATTTTTGATTTAAAGCTTTCGTGACTGCAGTAATTCATATTCTTAGTTCTTTCGATAAAGTCACGTTGAAGGGAAACAACAAAATAATAATATATATATTGTTTTTCTCTATATATTTATATATTTATATATATTATTATTTTGTTGTTTCCCTTCAACGTGACTTTACCGAAAGAACTAAGAATATATTTACAGTGTAGGTTTATAATCCAGCTTTGTAAACGCTGTAGCTATTGCTCTGTGTGCTGTAACTTTGTGCCATATACTTATACGAACACATAGCAGAGCCTAATGATCAGTGTTTAAACATGTCCTTACAATTGGCCCTAAACTCTTGAATGTTGGGATTATCAATGAATTACACAAAAGGAGAAAGGGGATCTGTCGCAGCTCGTGTATCACACACTTTCAGATTAAAGATATGTGTTTCATTGCCACTTGCAAAATAACAAATAACAAATATTTCATGTTAACTATCTCGCCTGGTATACAGGTTGTCGTGAGTTCGATCCCGACCTTGATGCCTACTGTATTTTTGAAGTTTGCATGTTCTCCCTGTGTTCACGTGGATCTTTCTCTGAGTCCTCCAGTTTTTCCCTCCAAATGTAGAAACGTGCGTTTAGAGTATTTGCCTGCTATAAATTTGCACGTGATAAGCCACTTCCTGGAGCTATAATTTGTGGCCAGGTCGCTTCTGAAAAGAGCTATATAGCTCTGTGGGCCTTACCTGGTAAAATAAAAGAAAAATGGTTTCGTATTTATCGTGGCCAGTGATATAGACTCGGCCACATAGCTACCATTGCTTCCTTACTTCTACAAGATCCAGCAACTGTCGCGCAGCGAACAGCTGACCTTCAACGACCGCTCATGCAATCTCCTGCCAGCTGGGCTTTATAGGTCTTCCCCCTTGGCCGCTGATTTATCGGTGTCACTGCAGTGCCCGTCTCGGTAAGCTGCCCTCCCCCGTTCTGTACCATTGTCCCACTCGTCCTTTCAAAGAACTCAATACAGGAGAACACCTCTTACCAGCGACCTTATTGCCCGAGAATCCTATTATCCATGGCAGCTCTTGCAACCGTGAAACGACTATTATCAGCGACCCTAGCATCCAATTAGCTGGGCATTTCGCCCGTCGATAAGTGGAGTACATTCGCGGGTAACCCGTGGATAACAGGCACCTCTGCCAGCCCACAATGCTGCGGATGAGTGGCGTTCTCCTTCACGACTGCAATACCCCGTGAGACATTCAAATGTTGATTTGGCAACTTGTTTCGAAATAAGAAACCGTCCTGCATCGCATTGTCACCAACTACTGCGCTGTATATAACTTGACATTTTGCACGAATTAGTGGTGTAAACACGTTTGCTATGCACACTGATTAGACCTATACTGCAGATGTACTGGAATTCCATTGGGAGGATCTTTTTTGTAATTGTAACATATATTCTATGACAATAAAAGGCACAACTGCACGATTTACTGTTTGTATAAAAATGTATATTTTAGTATCAAACGATCAAATATATAAAAACAATACCTATTTACTTAAAGAAACAGGATTTCAATTCAACACATTATAATGCTTCTGAGGTGCGTGCTTACCAGTTGTGGGATAATAACCAGTCCTGAAGTTCTTCGGAATAACTCATTTGTGCCAAGAGGCAGCTTAGGAGACACGGAAATTGAAAATGGAAGCAACATATTTGCAAACTTATTTATGTCAAACGCCAAAAAATAGGTTTGCTAAAGTTATGTCAGATTGACTTGCAAAGAGAGAGAGAGAAATCTTGGATCACGAAGAATTGACGGAGTCGAGTAAAACAATTTTCTGGGCGGAGGTGGAATTTAAACGTATGGCAACAGATTCGACAACTCACAGGGGCAAAGCCACACGTAGGAGCCATGGCCACAGAAAAAAAAAATTGGTACAGTTTCCGTTCCAAAAAAACCACACTCTTCCCCACATGACCTTCTATGTGTGGACTGTACTTGCTTGCATAATGTGAAAACAATACAGGTATTCACAATTTCCCCTGGAAAACAGCAATGAGGTAAGAAACGATTGCCCCCCCCCCCCAAAAAAAAAATCAGTTGTACAATAATGGAAAGTCTATATGCTACGAAGGGAATTTACAAATTAGAGATTAAACATCGGGCAGCACAAATACAGGGTGGGGGAGGCTTGGGGATATGATCATTAAAAGGTGCATGCAGGATGCGATATTTTAACACAGCGTCTGCAACACATTGAGATTTGTCCGGTACTGTTTTTGTACAGGAAGGCAAAAGATTGTGGTCTAATGCCACACACAACGTACACATCCATGGTGCTGTCAGCACGGAGGAAGGAACTAATATCAAAAATGCAAACCTGGACAAGCTTAGTAACCATTTCATGATCTGTGAACCCACCAGTAAGTATTCAACAGTAAATAACATTGTGGCATGCAAGTAAAAGTATAAATTAATAATTCATTATTTTTGACTATGTCAATCAGCTGCTGTAGTGAAGGCCTCCCCATGCCAGGCTAAACCACATTGGTTTGGTGGAGAGGTGGGAGAGTGAGGACTGGCTCCAATACCATGATTTGCCACCGATGCCATCTCTGGCCGGAAATAGACCGAGAGTTGCCGGATAACCGCTGTGACGCTACTCCCCTCCCAGATTAAGTGTATGCCAGCTTAACTTTCCAGCACAGTATAATCACCACAATGAGGAGTGCTGACACATACCATTTTATTGAGCAATACAACTTTATTAGGGTGTGAATAGTGTTCACTCCCATGCCTATTTAATTAGCATGAGTCACTCCCATTTTATATATTACCATGATTATTTAAACCTGATAATGATATAATTGATTCACGCACAGGGGCAGGGATTTAAGTGGACTCTAACGATAGCGCAAACTTATTTTTGTATACTATTGTCAAGCTTCTTTGGTTCTTTCGGTAAAGTCACGTAGAATGAGAATAAAATAATAAATGGATAAAATAAAATAACACAATAATATTCTCACGACGTTTCGGCCACAACACAAGCGGCCTTCATCAGGTGAAGGGACGAGACTGTCTGGTAGGACAGCGCTGGAGTGAAAGAGCCACGTTCAGATCACGGCCTTTAAGCTGTGTGAGAGGAACAAAGCGCCTTGACAAAGGAATTAGCATATAATTTAGCATTGAAATGGCTGAATGATTAGCTTGTGACTGGTCAGAGAAATAGCTATGTTAAAAGTTAAAGCATACACATCCGCAGAGGCACCCCTTGATAAAGGAATTAGCATAGAATTTAGCATTGAAATAGCTAAGTTAAAGCATACACATCCGCAGAGGCACCCCTTGACAATGGAATTAGCATAGAATTTAGCATTGAAATAGCTGAGTGATTAGCTTGTAACTGCTCACAGAAATAGCTACGTTAAAGTCAGAGCATACACATTCACCGAGGCACTTAGTACAAATCAAACAGGAGAATTTAGCATTGAAATAACTAGGCGAATTTAGCATTGAAATAACTGAGTGATTAGCTAGTGACTGGTCACAGAAATGACTATGTTGAAGTCCAGGCCTACACAGATGTGTAGGCCTTGACTTCAACACATATGTGTAGGCCTTGACTTCAACAGTCATTTCTGTGACCAGTCACTAGCTAATCACTCAGTTATTTCAATGCTAAATTCTATGCTAATTCCATTGTCAAGGGGTGCCTCTGCGGATGTGTATGCTTTAACTTAGCTATTTCAATGCTAAATTCTATGCTAATTCCTTTATCAAGGGGTGCCTCTGCGGATGTGTATGCTTTAACTTTTAACATAGCTATTTCTGTGACCAGTCACAAGCTAATCATTCAGCCATTTCAATGCTAAATTATATGCTAATTCCTTTGTCAATGCGCTTTGTTCCTCTCACACAGCTTAAAGGCCGTGATCTGAACGTGGCTCTTTCACTCCAGCGCTGTCCTACCAGACAGTCTCGTCCCTTCACCTGATGAAGGCCGCTTGTGTTGTGGCCGAAACGTCGTGAGAATATTATTGTGTTATTTTATTTTATCAATTTATTATTTTATTCTCATTCTACGTGACTTTACCGAAAGAACCAAAGAAGATGAATCATTGCAGTCACGAAAGCTTTAAATCGAAATTTATTGTCAAGCTGTTTTAACATCTACATCATCCTCAACCATGATCAATCCGCTGCTAGATGACGGTCTCCCCAAGCCATCGTCATTTCTCACGATCCTGCGACGTAATTAATCCATCTCGTGCCGAGGCACGAGGTCATTACATCACTCCATCTCCCCGTTGGAAGGAGGATCGGACGCATTCCATTCATTGGCTGCCACTGTCATTATTATTGGCCATTGCCCATGTGAACGACGTGTCCTTCCCAAGCCCGCTTCGTTTGAGTAGCAACTTGAATAGTCTATAACATACATTTATAAGCAACACTTTTATGGAAATTACGAAGCAAACAAATAATGCAAGCCACCTATAATATCTCTTTCTAAAAAAATATATACCTTTAACATGTCCACAATAATTGTGTTGTCTGGTACTCTGAATATTATCTGCTTGGGAGCAGAACTAGGTAGTTAGCAGAAAGACTGGCCAAACCGCAACCACCCTCTTCACATTAATGCCAAGTCTAGGAAATTACTTATTCACATTTCCTTGTACTGTACGACTGCCCACACGGCATGTAGGCGAATGTTAGTTCCGTACATGCAGCTTACATGGTAATTAGCTTAACAAGTGCACGCAAAAGCACCAACGATTGGAAATAAATGATACACACACACACGGAGCCCAGGCTTCCCGTGCGTGCTCTATAACCATTAGCGTCGTAAATATTTTTTTATTTTATTTTACGTGGCGGGACAGATATATGAAGGGTATATACTATGTCTGCTTATTTGTTTCGTTATGTAAACACTGCAGTTAAATTCGATCATTGGGGAAAATATGGTGTGTTCACGCTTATTGCATACAGTAGCTTTCGATTTACTGGGTTACCAATTCAAAATGTCATAAGATAGGTGTTTGGGTTTGATCGCGTAAGCATACATGTGTCGTAACCCTCCACCACCCGACACAGCCAATTAGTAAGGGAGTTGTCAGTGATGACGTCGTCCTGCTCTATTTAAGACCGATGATGCTGGATGTAATTACCAGCGAAAACGTCGCACTACTCAAATTGTTAATGTGGATTTACTCTCCAACACACCGGTGGGCTGAAGTAGTAACCATTTGCCGTTTTGTTTACTTGACATCCCTTACTAATTGGCTGTGTCGGGTGGTGGAGGGTTACGACACATTTATACTTACGCGATCTAACCCAAAAACCTTCATTGTGAATAATATTCGTCGAGAAAGCCTACTACGTGTTAAACCAATTCGAATGTATTGCATGGTGCCACTCTTGTACCGGCTACCCACGCAAAACCGTCATCCATGAGACTCGCCACGTGTCAGTGGGACGAAAGGAACCCTTCTCTCTCTCATCTACAGCTTCAAAATCAACCCACCTCCGAAACTCCAGACGCTGCTCCTATTGGCATTCACCAGCTGCCAAGTGACGGCTCTGCCGTGCGCTGTTCAGTGCAGCGCCGTTGCCCTCGGGGTCTGCCAATGTTGACTCGACGTCTTTCGAGGTGGCTCAGTGTGAACGTTTAAAGCGTAGCGCTTGGGATATTCCACCGCACCTCCGATTAGCACGGTTCGCTAGGCACGGTGTGAGAACAAGTTGAATATACACACTCCACCTTCACGGTGTATGATCATACATACGCCGTATCAAGGTGTTGTAGGGTGCCGTTCGGCTACATCATCGGCGGAGTGCAGCAAAATTCAGTTGTACTGAACATGGAACAAAAGCCGAGTACTGAAAAATGTCTAAAGAGATGCATGTTGGGAATTACGCTGGGAGATGAACACGTGGTTCAGAGAGCAAGCGCACAAATGAGATGCATCACATATTATCTATTAAGAATAGATAGTTTGGCTTAGCCATGGCGCATCGCTAGAAGGGGCTGTGGTCGACGGATGGACAAAAAAAAATTGTCCGCTGTTCACGAGGTGTATTGTTCTGTTAATTTCATGACTTCCTTGCTGGGCGGAGTGTTTCTGGGAATTGGAAACCAGTTGCAAATTAAACCACAGCTTTCCCGCATACCAATTTTCCCCTCAACATTTCGTTGCCAAACACAAGTAACATGCAAACTGTGCTCAACTTTACAAACGCCGCACACGACGTTGCACCACACTATTCAGTATCACGTGTACAATTTAACAGGCACTGTTAATTTGCTCCATCACATTGTGGAGGTTTTTTTTTTGGCGGGGGGGGGGGGGGGCAGAAATACTTTCCAAGAAAACTACAGCACTTAATAAAAAGTACGTTTAGGAAAAGTTGTACATTTAAAGAGCAAGACGTGCCTAGCCATTACAGCAAACACGCTGCCACGATGTACTTGTTACCAACTGGACTTGCGATCCAAGAGGTCGCCAGTTCAATTCGATCTCTCTCTCGAAATTGGGGGATCTGTCCTCGTAGAAATGGGTTGAGCAGGACTGGACGTGGGAATAAATTACTGGGGGAACTCGCACACGATTCCCCCACCCCCACAAGATCTGAGGAAAGGGAGGAAGAGGATATTTGCTCCATGTGTGCGGCTCTCTGTTAGTCTAGGGGTCCATCTGGGAGTCATGTACATTTAAAAAAAAAGATGAATCCTTGATTCTTTCCGCAACGCAGTCGGGTTCAGTTTTTCACTCCCACCATGGCGTTCTGGCCCCATTTCCACCACTGACCGGTTCAGTCGATTGGCAAGTCCTGTGTGGTGGGATGTGTGTTGCTCCCACCTCTTACAAGACGTCTGGCTATTGTGGAAGAGTAGGCCAAATACCACGAGTCCTCTCGATAGCTTCTGCTATTGTAGGCCCTTCTGCCAGCAAAAGAGCAAGAAGTTGCAAGGCTGCACATTTAGTCTGGAAGTTTTACAATGCTGCGTTAGCATGTACAAGCATAACAAACCCACTCTCTTGCTCGTCTCAACAATTGCCCCGTATCAATAATTATGATGTTTAGACCTACACGAGTAGTTCATCATTTTTGTTATGGAGCTCCCCCACAATCAAGACCACTGCTACCCACCCACGCAGGGCATTCAAACATCCATTATTGGCTGCACGAGTTGCTCCAACCGACAGCTGCTGCACATGCCTCTTATCAACGCGATGTTTAACAAGGAATCGGTGTCATTGTTGAGTGTTGTGAGCAAGGCATGCGTCACGTTGAGCGTTTTGTTGCCCCGACACGGTGCTGTTGTTTTCCCACGCACATTTCTCCCGCACGGTATCCACGCCGCAGTCGGCGCTTCCCCTGCAAGGCATTTTGAGACCAATGGGGTAAGAGCTGCTGGCCTACACATGTACCATTTCCTTTCCAGGCCAAAATTGGCTTTCCAAAATGAGTTCAGGATTTGTTTAGGCACGAAGTACACTTTCAAAAGGCCCCGACTACCTCTACGGTTAATAAATTAACTCAAGGTGTGTGGTTCCATTGCACAATGCAGAGCAAGCCTGGATAAGTGCTTGAAATGGGCCACCGCTACGCGCAAAAGGTTGTTGTAGACGGTGGCTACATGGCAGGCAGTAGAGGGCAGTGCGGCAAAATGTGGTTATATTGTACTATACTGCGATGCTCCCGCCTTTGTACTCCACCACCTTCAGCCACACGCACTGACAAGGGTGCAGAGGACCAAATAACCCCCATGACCTACGCAGCCTGAAGAGGCCCTCATCCAGCAACAAACCCAATGGCTATTGCATCAAGTTATTGAAAGCAATGATCCAGCTATGCCTTGCACCATCACAATTATTGAACGTATATTAATTACTATTATTATTCATGGAATGCCACTGTCGTGTTAAAATAGCATCAATACTGTACATTCAATCCATTAGAAAAATATATAATACAATGGGAAAGAAAGAGGCCATTATCCATGGATTAAAAAAAAATGTCTTTATAATATTAAACGCACGAATGACCGAGGCAACATCAGCAGGCGTAAGGGATGCTCAAATAAGCAAAGGGAGTTTTGATCACAACTGTTGCCGACCAACATGTAGGACAGCAAACTCGCGCCTTACTACAAGGAGTGGTTCCGAACCTTAAGGGCCACTTTCAACATGAAAACAAAAATGCGGGCAACTATGTAGTCAATAATTAAAGCAAAGGGGTTTTATGAAGGAAAACATTTGTGTCTGCAACAGTTTGGCGGACCACTACCCACGGGTCTTGTAAACCACAGGTTGGGAAACACCAATGTAAGGGTTTCAGGTATGCACACAATCTCGCCAAGCAGGTTTAACATACAAACGAGACATGCCCAATCGTGCTCCATGGAATTGTGTGCCTTCCACAGCAAACTTTAGTTTGCATAACCCCACAAATCGATGCATTGTAATTAACAATTTGCTCAAGTAAAACGCATAACCCGACCATTGTTATACAATGCCTACTTAAAAAAACATATGCTATAGTTTTACTAATATTTAAGTATTGAATCCTAGGTTGGAGATATCAAATTACAACGAAAATCGGACGCTACACGGCTAAATTGATTGGTTGGACACGAGCAATTAATGGTTTAGTAAAAGTGGGATGTATAGAGCACGTTTCGAAATTGCCAGCTGTTTGCTCAAGCAAACACACCTCTATTCAAAGTATAAACGTGAAAAGCCATTTCAATACAAAGAAACGCTTTAACAATGAAGTAGGAATTGAAATAAGGCTTTCAATGGCAACATACAAGAAAAGGGACAATCACCAAACCTAAACATGACCGTTTAAAAAAGGCAGTTCAGAACGCAGGTGACTACTTGCACAACAGCAGTTATGTACAGGTCACGGACAATTCATAGACCTGAACAATACATCTGGGAAGGACGTTCTCTTCTGTTAGTACGTTCAATTGTTGTTCAAACGGTGCAGACTAAATGTCATTGTTGCGTAAACCTAAGAATCCGCATTAAATTACGTGCATAAAGTCAATCGCCACCATCGCTTAAAAGCTCGTGTTAAGTTCTACAAGCAATGGAATAGTTTCTCGTTTGGCTTGAACGACAGAGGGTGGTGTCCAAAGAGTCCGCAAAGCAATGAAACGTGCTTGGCAATGTTTTCCAAGAAGGTGGTGTGTATTGCAAAAAGCACAAATTGTCAAAACCAAGCCGTGGCCAAAGCGACAGATTCTTCAAAAACCACAGAAACGGTGCACACAGGAGAGGCTTGTCGTCAACAGTTGAACGTTTTGCATCTTTGCACGGTCAAGCCGGGAAAACGAGATTTTAAAAAAATGAAGTATAGCCTGTGAAACACGAGATGAACACCACCATGCAAAAAGGACAACAGTATCTCAACCGACAGGAGTTGGCTTTCGTTACGACGCGAGCTTAGGAGGGAACGAGAACAATTCTGGGAACCTAAGAAATTGCGTGAGCAATAAAAGGGAGACATTTGCCACAACTAAAAAAAAAATCGGCCAAAAAGGTGTAAATTTGGTACAGTTGAGCAACCGGCTAGCAAGGAGCAAAGAGGACCCATCAAGTGAACACCACGCAACTGCTATGGGTGAAGGTAATCTTTAGGCTGCCGGATTAAAAAAAAAAACCATGCAGTATACTTAATATATACCGTTCACTGCAGACACCAGGAGGAAGCCAGTGACGGACTACACCCGGAAAATAACTCCAATAAGTATGCGGGTTGTGTCATAAGCGCAGAGATGACATGAGACCCATTCATCTGGGAGTGTTGGCACGGTTGGCTACGTAGGGTACAAAATAATTTAAGACAAACGCTTAGAGCCCCCAAATTGGCTCAAGGGACCCCATATTTAAATGAAATTAGTGTAAATGTCAGCAACAGGTTAAAATCCTAATAGGAGCAAATTAAGATAAAGACAGCTAATGTATTCTGTTGTCTCGCTACCAGTCTCATGTCGGCATTTCACGAAGACGAGATTGGAAACAGGAGCCCCGGAAATAAAGTCTGCTTTTGGACAGCAGCACCTCTGCACCCACTCTAATTAAGAGGACATAAAAGCAATGTTGAGGAATGCAGCATATTTTTATTGCTTAGATTTTTGTACGTGTATCCATTTAGTCAATTAAAGTTCCAGAAGATACACGCCACATTACAACACGGTAATGGAATGCCGTAACATCGATGACCAAACTACATTGTGGTCAGTGTGACAAAGCAGACATGTTACTCAAAAATAGCACATGTTAAGGGAGCAGCTGTATCAAACCATTTATTATTTGAAAACAATCATGAAAAACGGTACACACGGCAGCAGAAATATTTAAAATATAGACAAAAAGGTAACCCGGAGAAGTTCGGTATAACACCCAAATTTGTATAGCATTGAACAGATGATTTGATTAATTTAATATGACACCTAATAATTTGAAGGTTCTTGGGGGACAGAACTGAAACCCACCGCTCCGACGAATTGAAAAATGATTTCACAAAGCACCAGGTAAACCACATGTTTGGCCTTGTACAAACTTTTTTTAAAAATAAAGGTATTTGTGGAATGTCATGTTTTTACTCATAAGGGTGGGGTAATGCTGCAACTCATCCTGCGTGCAAGATAAGGTTTAGGCAAAAAGGTCGGCCAAATTGTTTTGGAAGTAAGAGATCCCTGCAGAGATACATGACAAAGTATTCTACACAATTGGTTACAAAACAAAAGGGATTAAGGGTTCCAGGACAGATTGACGTCTGGAAGCAGCAACATTACGAATGTATTTGACTCATGCGCAACTCCATTTACTTTTAAAACAATATTTTTCAATTAATAGTATCTGCTCTGTGCATTACTTTACAATGTTATGTATACCGATATATTTAACATATTATCCAGCCCAAACATCGTGGAACAATTTTAGTTTGAAATTACTGGGAATATTGCAATTTGGACCATAAAATCAGCTCTCAGCCTGCTTTGTAACGTCCAAACATTAAAAGTAAAACAATCCCTGCCAATGTCTTAATAATTACCATATTCTGCAGATTAGACCCTTCATAAAGATGTATCCAAAACTGATCATTTTATTCAGAGCACAAATGTCGTCACACACCCAACTTTTCCTTTAATATACAGGGTGGGGGGGGGGGGGGGGGGGGGGGTTGATTGTCATCTGGAGAATAGGGCGTTCCGGTTTTCCAAGATAAATAACTATATATTATTAATATTACTGGTCTTGTAAAAATAAAAACACAGACTGTGCTGCAGAAGTCCATGTGTTGGACCTATAGGATCTACCTCAGTCGAGAATGTTCCTGTTGTCAAGCTACCTAGCTGCCTCTTTTAGTTGTCATTACTGCTTAAAATGGCAAGGTAACATGGTAGAAGTGTACTCCACTAACGTTGCTATGCTGCACATTGCAAAAGTTACTGTGATGGGCCCTTGTTTGTTACAACTAGTAACGCCTGTCATGTTGCCAAGAAACCACGCTGATTTGTATTTTACATGCACATTCGTGGAATTCAAATGAATGTTTTAAACAATGACAAAAAAAAGGGGTTTGCTTTTCATTCTTCACCACGACTTTTGGGAAAATTCTCATCCGCTAGTGGTTCTTCCACATGCCCATTCCAACGTAGGCGTTTATCGCGTAGCAAAAGGTTGCGAGGTAACTGAAGACCTGGAAAGAGAAAGTAGATCAGTTATCGACATGCCAACGAGTGCCACCTTACTTTGGTCAAGACACTCAGCAGGTCCACAAAGTAGGAAACTTGTCAGAAACATAAAATCACATATGGGGGTTTACTGAATGCAAGCACAGTAGATTTTAAAAATAAATATTCCAGTCATTACAAGTTCACCACTGGATGAAGGCCTCTCCATGCCGCGTTGGTCATGGGAGGGGATGTTGACTACTTTACCTCGCTGCTCAATTATAATAGAATGTCATCGATCAGTCGTATCTGGGAATTTAACTTGATACTAAATACATCACAGCAGATGAAACGTTCTTCAGAGAACGTCTGGCAGTATTTTGAGCACTTCTCCCTCATCTAGGAGAGGTGTACACATTTCTTCCACAGTGAATCGAGTCCTAACAACGATGCCTCACATGTCCAAAGTCGTGGAAATGGCCAACGTTAACATTTGTAGAGCACTTTCAATGAATTTACTCTTTGGGTCTTTCGGTAAAGACCCAAAGGAGTATGTATTCCTGCAGTCATGAAAGCATCAAGGTTAAGGATTCAATGTATTGTTTAAAATAAAGTTTACATCAGAAATATTTCACCTTGAGGAAATTGCCACTCTAGATAAGACGCACACAAAACTTAGTGCCTAGTCAATAAAGATATACAACTCGTCACAAACACGAACCTGCTGTAAATTAGTGGAACAAAAGGTGGTCTTGCAATCCGAGAATGCCGTAAGTCGGCAATCCGAGAATGCCGTAAGTCGCTAAAGATGAATTCCTCGTCAAAGATGAATTGATATGCCGGCTTTGTTAAAATGAAACGAGTTGCGTCAAAAATCTCCATGTGCGCTCTGGACAGGGAAGCCAACAGCTACACCGATGCATGGTGGCCTCTCTGGTTTAAAAGGTGGTCACGCCCCTGCCATTCAACGTGTCACCCATAGCCGTCAAAGACATTTGCTTATAGAATCTGGGTGCAGAGTTCCCCCTACAGGCGACTACAAACGCCCTCACCCCTTGGCAATACGGGCAGTCCACAGACTTACGAACGGGTTCAGTTTCTGAGATCCGTTTGTAAGCCGGAACACAATCATGTACTATATTTAAAATGCAGTGTCATAAAAAGTGTTACGGTTCAAAAGTGAGTAAATGCAACTCCACAAACCAAACCTAAAAAAAACCCCACATCTATCACTTTCATAATGCAAAACAACAAAGATTAAAACGATTGAATGATAAATGTTCGTTTTACCCTTTTAGGGAATTCCTAAAGATCTGCGCATGTGGGAATGACCGGAAAGGTGACGTGCAGGCGTTACTGTGACACTGAAGGGACACGGACGCTTTCGCAAATGGATGACAAACCCTCCCAGGTGCTTCTTGTTTGATGATCTCATGGCGAGTGCAATGTGGCATTTCGTTCACGCGGAAATTATATATTTTTTATTTATCGAAGTGTCCATAATTTGGTTCAATACGTTTAAGGGACATTTCATAAACAGAATGTTGATAAAGCGAGGGATACCCGTAGTTGCCAATGTGATCATTGATGAAGGTACGGATGGGGGCAACAACCCAGTAAACCATGGAACGTTGGGCCAATGTTAGTCCAACGGTTCCAACCCACGTGCCAACGTTGGCCCATCTTTGCCCTTTCACTGGAATAATGGTGGATGTAGGCGATGTTATGCAGGTGGAGGAATGAAGTCCTGTACATTCCCCCTTTGACGTGCTTTGGTCACGGGCAGGGTTATAGTTACATCTGAACTTTGGTTGCCTTGTGTGCTGCCCACAAAGTTTGCCCTATTCCCCATTGCCACATACGGACCAATTAAATTCAGCTTTTGGCTGCGTTTAATGTCTCGAATTGAAGCTTTTGTGACTGCAGGAATCCACACTCACGTTTTCGATCGATTCGATTGGAACGTGATCTATTATTTTTCGACCTACGCGACTTTACCAAAAGAACCAAAGAGTATGCACTTCATGTGTTTACAGCGACACCTGGCCAGGCGAATTGACACGACAGTACACAATGCGATTGCAAGTCGTTTTGAATTTATCAATTGTTGATTAATTGAATGTCGAAAAATATTGTTTTTTATAAATTAATAACTCGCCATTTTTTTAATGGCAGACAGGGCCGTGGGACTGCAAAATGCTGGAAACGATATCTTCAATCCCAGTCCACCTCTGTTGGATTCAGCACCATTGGACACTCTGGGCCAGAGGTTTAGTTATGCAAATAAAAATAAAAAACACGTTGTATGGCCATTTTTAGTTCAGTAAGTCTAGGCTATAACCAGGATTTTATTTCAAATATTTTTTCCAGACCACAGGTAGACTGGAGTAGGCACATGACTTAGTATCCACAGCCAGAGAGGTATATACCAGATGTGGTGTCAAGTGAAGAGCATTTTTCAGGTCACCAACCTGGACAGCCGAGCTGAAATGAAACCCTGGCTATAACTGATTAAGTCGGTTTACTTAAAATCTAAACTAAAAACAACTTTTATTTCACAAGGCCTATCGAGCGATACAACTCTTTTTCAGAAGCAACCTGGCTGTAAATGATAGCCCAACGAAGTGGCGGCTTGTGGAAATTTATCGCAAACAAATACTCTCAAACGCATGCTTCTCAATGTGGAGGGGAAAACCGGAGGACCCTGAGAAAAATCCATGCGACCCCACAGGAAAAACATGCAAACTTAAAATATAAGGCGTCTGGGTCGGGACCAAACCCACAAATCACCTGTATACAAGGCTAAAATAGTTAACATTATTACCGTGGTGCCCGTCTATATGAATGTTGCAGCTCTAGATTATAATGCAGTTGTAAAGAGACATTATACCGAGTGTTATAATGAGCAGGTGCCGAGCAATGTGAACGTCAAATGCAGTTAATACTCTACTGTACGGTGTTTGTCTTTTAGGTGGAGTGGTGTCGCAGTGGTTACGAACCCAGCAACCCAAGTTCGATTCCAGGCCATAGCCAAGTGGAGAGGGATATGGAACAGACCCCTGGGCCAGCCCTCTGCACCAACCCCCATTGACCAGCCGTGTTGGAAAGGTGTTCAAATATCCTGTCCATGGTTGAGTGGTAAATTATTTCAACTGGCCGCAGGGTGGCGCAGTCGTAACACGTGCCTCACAGCAAGAAAGTTCTGGGTTCCAATTCTCAACTCGGGTGCTTTTTGTGTGTAGAGATTTGCATTTCTCTCTGTTCCGCATGGGTTTCCCTCCAGCGTTTCTAGTTTCCGCTAAAAATATGTAACTGGTTTGGGCCAAACATCCCAGTGTTGAAAAATTACGCACAAACTATTTAATTGGGGATTACAAAGAAACATTGGCAGGACCTTACTTCTTAAAGGGTACCAAGACTCCCGGAACCTTTTGTGGATAAAACAAGGTACAAGCAAATTATAAACCAATTTACTACTTTCACCATCCTCACACTAAACACGGTGTGAAGTATGGGTGAAACGTCACCCATAAATGGTAGAGAGGTCTTCACCCAGCAGTGGATCCTGAAAGGCTGCAAACTACCGTTATTGTTATCATTCATGTTCATTACCGTCGCCGCCACGTTTATGCGGTACGTGTCGTTGTCGGTGGGACTGGTGGTGGTCACGACGGAGCTCGTATTCGTCGTCGGCATTGCCATCGTAGAGGACCCATTGGCGCTCGCGTTCTGCTCCCGCACCGATCTTATCAGCAGTCGGATCAGCTGGTAATTGGGATACACCAAGTAGCTTGGCTCAGGAACTCCACGGCGCTTGCGAACGTGACCAGCGTTTGTTGTCATAGAGGTCACAACTGTAGAAGTCGAGACACTGCTTGGCACGCTCGTTGTGACGGTTGACGGAGTGTGGCTTGCTGTGGGGCTGCCGGGGGAAGACGGGGCGACAGGCGTCAAACTCGATGTGGGCACCAAGGAGCCCGTGACCGAGGAGTTCAGAGAAGGGGTCACAGTCTGGTTCACCGTGGGCACTGTGCTGGGTGCCATGGTGGTGGCAACGGTGGACGGCGACTGCCCAGAGTACATCAGCCAGCACTGCTGTTGGGTGCATGCGGTGACATTGGCCTGTAGCACAGCGGCGCTCAGGTACAGGACGAACGCTGCCAAGTTGAACCAGGCATTCTGATGGTCAAAACACACATACGTACACACAACCGCACATTTTATGGTTACACACAGCCCAGAGACTGTTAACAATTTTGTCAATATACACAAAGACAAAGGCTTTCAGTCTAGGTTTTGAAAGCTGTTCGGGCAAGTGCTATTAGCAAAGCACCTAAGAAGGCTGGCACAGTGCACACGAGGGTGGTATGGCCAGAACTACAACCTGGTGTGAAGTTTCCACACCAGGTCCGTCTTCGAAGGTCGATTCAAAGTTATTAAAGGTCTAGGAGCAGTTCAGATATTGGCCATAGAATAAAACTCAGGTCGCCGTATTTGTGCGCCGACCACTTCCACTCGCGTTTATGTCAATGCGTGAACAACCACAGGTACCAAAAACAATCTCCGTTACCATTGTTTGGACAGCCATAGAGTAGTGGCGAGTCAACTATTGCACTAAAACAAACACGTTAAATTAAAACATGCCAAATAGTGCCGTGTGTTAAAGCTCCCCAAACCCAAAGTTTGTTTTATTTCACAAATATAGCAAATGTCTGTCATTAGCAAAAAAACTATAAATACCAGGTGATACAATGAAGCAATGTAGACTACAAACCACAAACAGGTGGAAACTCAAAAATGCAAGTGGCCAAACTGTTGGGCCATTTTCACCCCACTTAAGTGGGTTTTTAGATTGTGTTCCTCAGCTCAAACAATGTGTAAATGTGGCCTCTTATGCCTCTCTCCCACGATACAAAGCCACACCAGGATTGTGGGAAAGTCAGCCCAGTGCGGCTCAGGAGGCATCGGGTTGTTTTACAACTGCGGAAGTACAGCAGTGCCCAGGAAGTGCTAGAGGGCCTGGAGCAATTAATGACGAACAAGATTAACCACCCCCATCCCCGAGTGAGATTCAGAGGTCTTAGAAGGCCAGAGTTTTTGGGTTCCGGCTCCACAAAGCCAGGTGGAAAACCACCCTGGTGTTGGATGTTGCCAGTGGAAGAATGGGTATTATGCAGTTTCAAATAGCATTCAAATCAGGAGCCGTATGCCTTCGTGATAGTGTGGGTGTTGTGTGCCTTCAGGCACACGAAACGTACCAGAGTGACCCATCCTGATGTCTGGCTGGGGACGGAGATTATGTAGAGCACAAACTGGACAATGGTGAAGACAAAGAATGTAACAGAGACGAACATGACCCATCCCTGGCTCAGATCGGTGCCCTTTAGGTTTGTGGAGGCCACCAGAATCCACACGAGACCGCCAAAGACCTGCGAACAATATCGACAGTTCCAGAACAAAACTGAATTTCAAACCAAGTGGTGATCAGAATTACTTTTTAGGAGTACGGCTGTTTTGTCAAAAAGAAACCTTAAAAGTAGATGTAATTGAATGTCAAAATCAGGTTAATAACTTTATATGGAAACAGGATTGATAGCTCATTCCACTTAGAATTACAGAGGAGTCCCAGGCCACACGTGGTAGACTAATAATGACTTGCAGCCCTTTGTCAATCCATCACTTCATCCAACAGTTAACTTATTATGGCTTATGATGCAAATGACATGAAGAGTACAGATGACTCGGATGTCCAGTCAAGACAATATAGTAATAATTGCGAAATAAAATCACTGTGAGTTACTTAAAAAAAACAAATCGCATTTTTCTCAAGGGTCACAACGCAAGGCAAATTTCATCCGAGATCAAATCCCCAGCCACACCCTCTGCCCATGGCCACTCCTAAATGCTACAAAAGTGGACAATAGATTTTCACAAAATGTACACATGCATCACTTCCTAGGACTATCGTGTGTGTAACCCCGATTTCATCAGATATCAGAACATGAGCAGGTTTGAGCCTGGATAGTACTTGAATGGGAAGCCAGTCTGGGAAAAAAAACGCTCTAGAGAGTATTGTAGCCTTGAGCTGCACACTGACCAGGTAACGGTATAGCAATAGAATGCAAATTTGTGATAAACTTTTGAGGCTACTCCCCCCCAATACGCATGGGGTTTCTCCATGTCACCTCGGTGTGTGCCATACCTCTAAGAAATGATAGTCATGACCAAAATCTCCTGGAACGCAACAGATCTTGCTTGATCAACAAGGCTGGATAGTGCGTGCATGGCACACCACCATACTGAAGGGCTACTCCTCAGGAACCATTCATTTAAGGCATGCGCTGTGTAGGACATTTTTTTAAAAAGTAAAAGTAGATAGGCCTCCCATTAAATTGAGTTTTGATCTGCTCTAGGGGGCATTTAGCCTATTCTGTGCTGGCCAAAAATCTTGGAGGTGGTATTTCCCCATCTAATCCACCGGATGTGGTCTGCCGATTAGTCAACTGTGATGAACCCAATGATTACTACTCGGAGACAGGGCGGTTTAAGAAACGTGGACCAATTTCAAACTATTGTGCTGGGAGATCAAATTGGTGGCCTCTAGATTACAAGTCCAGTGTAATAACCATTAACACCATGGCAGAATTCCTGGAAAATGTTTATGAACAAGTAAATTCCTGATATCAACCAAAGAATGAAGGTCATGGGGTGTTTTTTGGTATCATGCTTCACCACCCTGGTAAATGCAGGTTGGCAAAGATAGGGGAGTGCAGGAACGATTCCAATTATCACCTTAGCTACTTGTGTTATCAAAGGCCAGGAATCAAAGTCACATTGTTTGGGTTTATAATGCTGTGCGATAACAACTGTGTCACCATTCCACCCAAACATAAATGCAATGTCTTATTATTCACTCAATTACCGTGGAATTATAATAGCCACAAATAAAGAACAAGTCCACTGTTGGACACACGGCACGAAACCACACACTGAATGCAACGTGGAACCACACACTGAATGCAACGTGGAACCACACACTGGATGCAACGTGGACACATCGTCTCACATGGCCAAAGGGCAAAGACAAGTGACAGATAATAACCGCACTAAAAAAATCCTTCAGGAGTAAATAGTACAAGAGACCAGGAAACTCTTGGATAAAGAAATAACGAAACATTTGGATTGATTGGGGGTAAAAGAGGCAGTCCATTGGTTAGCACACTCCGCTAGGAACCAAAATACGCGAAGTTGGCTTGTTAACAGTTAACCATTATTGGCAAGTGTCACCTCAACCAGCATTGGGCCTCAACCCCCTTCAACACGCAGAGGCCAGGGTGGTGGAGTATGGTCGAATAACCCTCGTGACCAACACGGAATGGAGGCATTCATCCAGCAGTGGCTTGACATGTATGTATTGTATTAAACAACTCGGCGCTGCTGCTTGCATAATCCTTGGCTATAAACTTGTATGGCTAGGTGTGGCTTGCACCACGAGCACAAGGTTTCAGTCATGTGATATTTACAGGTCTATTTTGGCACCACATGTACAGTTTCGGTGCCCAAACTAGGTATGAGCGTTTTTTTATTGTTATGGTTGTTTACACCAGAAATGCCTCACCGAGCCTGACTTTCAGGAAGGTTCTGCCAAGTTCTCGCAGAAGGGGGCAAAATTTTGCCATGCATATTCCAATCGAGCATTGCAAATTGTGGGCAATGTTCTAAAATTATGGCCAGGATGCCGGCACAAGGAGAATGTCGTCCGTCGCGAATAACAAAGCCGAATTTTTTACATCCACTGTGAAAGCAGGTTGCAACAAGCTCATGAACGGTTAGCACACTCGCAGTACGAACAAGGGCGGCCACTGGATCGAACCGCCAACGTCTACAAACAAGGAGGTGGTTCTCATTTATCCTGCTGGGAGAAAGTCTAATTAAAACAGGTCCCTGCAGGGTGGGCTGGTAGGAACATTGGCATTTTGCGCAATTTTAATTTTACACCCCAACAGCACGAGATTTCACTTCGTTAAAGTATTGAAAGGGGACGGACGGACACATTAATCTATTGCAGGCTGGTACACTCAGTTTACAACTTCGTTCCTACCAGTATGATGATCCTATCGTCAGTACAAACAGAGCCCACAATTCCATCACCACATCGAAAACTAAGATCTCCAATCCCACATTAAAATCATCGATTGCAATTAACTGCGATTATCAGCCATGGCTGTATTCTACCTTTTTGCTCTCTACCACACAAGCTCAGTGGACATGTTGAACAAATGTCGATCAATAGGTAGGGGCGGTGGGGGGGGAAAGAGGTTGTGCCATGCTTATCCACTGCGTTTTGAAATCATGTTCAATTCCCGGCTATGACCAACATCAGTGGCGAGTGATATCTGAACCAGCTATTCTTGCCAGGTGACTCGAGTCAGGTTTTCAAACAAAAAATCACGGACGTGGGTTTTTTTGTCAGCCAACGCAGAACTCATTCACATCAACACACAAGCAAACTTGGGACACTTCGTGGGAAACACATTAACCAACCGGTACGGATTTTCCATTTACCGATAAGGTCTTTCAAGTGCCGATGCATTTGTGCACAAGTGTGAACTTGTGCAAACTGGACCTCCCACTACCGAAGCACCACAGGTTTTTAAACCACATTTTCTGCATTCTGCACTCAAACATGACATTCGACGTCACATGCCAGAAAGCAGCTCCAACTTGCACGGGAAGCGCGATCTGTGAACGGATCCAGCAACCAGAGACGTTCTTCCAACGGCTGCATTTCTCAACTGGTGCGCACGCACAGCCACGCTACAGCACTGCGTTGATCACAGGCACACTCTTCATTAGTTTATCACACTTAAGTGTCCACAACCACGTAGGTTTTTTTTTGCAGTGGTTGCTATACAGTTCTCCGATTAGTTTTCGTGCTGTGCGTTGTTCGGCACGATATCCGATGTGTCACTTCCAAAAAAGATTTTCCAGCGAGTGGAGAAAACGGAGTCCCTTATGCAAAACACCACTGTGCAACCTGGAAATAGCTTAGGGAGCAGTACACTAGCCAATTCATATATTGTATTTATTCCCACAGGAAGGGCCCAATGAGCTGCCAAGCTATTTAATAAGCGTCCTGCTATGGTACAGAAGCTATCCAGTACTGCACAGATCTTATTCACACAAGCATGTTTACACGTGTGTACAGTATATACATGCATCCTCTACTACTATCATACGTGTGCAGTGTTAGCATTAAATGGGTGCTCACTTATACTCGCAATTGTCACCAGCACCGCATTTGCTATTAGCAACTATGGAAACTTAGTACGGCAAATGGCATGGGGTGATGGGAGTTCTATATACTGTATCCAATTAAAGCAGAGTTTGCTCAAATGTGAGTTTATGACCAATGATTGATCCACCAAGTAGACCAATTTGGGCAGTTACAGAACCTCCGCCTGTGATACAACGTATCCAGATTTCGGCAATGACATTTTCAACAAACACGAGACACCAATTTTTTTTATATATATAAAATGTATTTTATACCTACGTGACTTTACCGAAAGAACCAAAGCGTACGAGACACCAATTATTTTTCTAAAAAGCTCTGCCGGTATACCATTGCCTTGATGATAAAAGGGAGGGATGTTTGTGCGCGCAAGAGGCTACCCATTGAAATGATCAAGTTGGAAGTAGAATAACAACCACAAGCAGGTTGCAAGAAAATAACATGAACCGACTGAACAAAGGACATGAAGGTGCATCCAACCACTGTTTGGCATTAAACCAAGCGTGGAAGCATAGCAACACAACCAGATCATCCCAATGTCAAAGTACCAGTTGAATAACTCCCGTCATTTGACTGCTGTACTTGTTTCCAATACAAAATGCAATCGGTTCCTCTCATTGGACTGGGCTTTCGGACAAAAAAAAAAATCACAAGGCACTTTCAGACACTTTAAATAATGTTGGTCATCATAACCATGAACTGGATTTTTATTTGGGCTTGCTGCAGTCCGTCAACCAATTAGGACAGTAACCGAGATGGAAATAATTTGTCCACCAATTTTAACGACGAGGAAGGCTCATAAAACACCACCGTCGATCATTGACCTAGCTCTAAATAAATAAATAGTATCCAAAATACAGCAACAGTAAATTGCCTTTAAAGAATTACACCCGCAAGTATTAAGCGTGCCTTTGAAATTTGGAACGAGAGCTCGTTCAATTTAATGGAACTGGGCCTGCCCATTCCATTAATTCTACCAATGACTGCCCATCAAATGACCCTGCATGCAGCCCACCTCGGCAAACCTCTAATATTAAGCCGGGTTGAGCCTGTACAGCGCTCCGATGTGCGACCACCAGACAAACAGGTTGTTGTTATGGGCTGTGGGGATACTTGTCGGATAGCAGAAGGGGAGCACAGCAAAACATATTGTACTGTACTTATATGCGCCTGAAACTATGCTGCCTTGACCAGCAATTAACTACATAGGTGTGGTGAGGAAATTGACACGTGTACACTAATGATTGTACCACAGTGCGGAAAAGTAAGTCTGCGATTGTACCGCTTGCATCATCTCACCCATGATCATGGGCAGGACTGGGGTTGGGAAATATCAGCCGAGTTTCCCGAATTCCTACGGTGTGGGATTAATATAGAATCAATGGGGGGGGGGGGGGGGGTAGTGCGTGGGGGACACTGAGATTCCTATGGAGAGATCCACCCCTTCAGGCTTCCTCAGTCTCATGCGTGTGGTTGTCGGTCACCGGGAACACACCGTATCAACAATTCAAAGAAAAAGGCACACGGCAACAACCACAGTGCTGCACATTATTTGCAATGTATTCACTTGAATATGCAGAGCCCTTCGTAATCACTCCACTGCCGTACTGGATTGCTTGCCTCCCAAAGTCGTCGAGGATTTTCACCATGCTTCACCATGCCGGGCAGTGCAGGTGAAGTGTGAAGAAGGGCAGCATAGACGTGGGAGCAGGGAAATTTACCGATTGGTTTTCAGGTGCGGTATGGGTGAACGAAAAACCATTTGAACCGTTCATGGTTCTATATGAATTTTAAAAGGCTTGGTTCCAGTTAACCATTGACAAAAAAATGGTTGGGACAAGTTAGAATTTGCTTTAAATTGTCCAAAGACCTTCCGTGTCACTTACATTGCAGGCTACGATGTAGGCTAGTCGTTTTACTACCCTTTGAGATTGAGCAAATATGCACTGTTAAAGCACAATGGGGGCAGACGTGTTAGAATCTCTTCAAAAGACACGGACCATCCAGTTGCAGTAGTGACTGGATCCTTTTCTTTCTGCCATCAGATAATCAAACCAAGGAACCAGTCCAAGGTGGCATGTTCACGCGGAAGGCAAATCGCTTGCTTCACGGATAACAAACAGGAAGACTGCAGTAGCTGTAAAGTGTGCAGGAAAACGTAATTGTTAAAAATTTAGAACTTTAGGCAGACCCAACCTTAGGCGTGAATTCAATCAACCTCTGGCCTGTAATTATGGGGGCTTTCATGCTATGGTCCTTCCACCTCGTACTGTATTAATAGACTGGAATTTACCGACATAACGCTTATTCAAATTTACACTTTCTAGCCCAACTATAAAAATGTAATAAGAATATACACCACTTACAACCAGCCAAGATCGTCTCGATACGTGGATTATAATAAAATTACGGTTTAAGGACCCAAAACGTCTAGGCATCTATGCTCAAAATGAACGTTTGGAAATGAACGTGATGAAAATTCCACATTCCGATGTTAGGGGACAAAGTCTGCATGTAAAACGACCACAGTCGATTTCCCACAAAGTGGAGATTATTTTAAAAACGGCGCTGGAGAGCTGCACCAAGTCGACGCTCTATGGTCAGCTTTGGAATGCGTTCAGTACCCGGCAGAATTTAGGAAGTAATATTTACATCAAGTATCAGGAAGTGTAATAGTATGCCTCATCCGGCATTTAAAAAAATAAAAAAGCATGTCCTGTAAATATTAACAGTTCAGACTAGGGTTGTTATAATTAATTTTACATTACCTATAATTGGTTTGCCACGTATATAATGTATAGCATTAACATGTATAAAACACTCTGGTTATTTCGGTAAAGTCACGTAGGTAAAAATAAAAAATTAAGTTAATCAAATCACGACGTTTCGGAGGCAACACAAGCTTCCGTCATCAGGTGCTGTGCAAGTTACACCTGATGACGGAAGCTTGTGTTGCCTCCGAAACGTGCTGTGCAAGTTACACCTGATGACGGAAGCTTGTGTTGCCTCCGAAACGTCGTGATTTGATTAACTTTATTTTGTATTTTTACCTACGTGACTTTACCGAAAGAACCAAAGAGTATGGATCATTGCAGTCACGAAAACTTCAAATCTAGAATGTTTAAAACATTTTTAAACCGAGAAACCAAGGGTGATAGTGGTGCAATGGAGGGCCTGCAATCCAGAGGTAATCGGTTCAATCCCAGGTGAACAAATGGTGAACGTTCAAACCCAGCAGTATAAGTGGGTACACCACTGTTAGCGCAGTGGGGTAAAGTGTTGGTATGTTTTGATTCAAAACTTTCGTGACTGCAGGGATCCATCTTCTGGGTTCTTTCGGTAAAGTAACGGAGAATGCAGATAACATAATAAAAATATTAACAGAATAAAATTCTCACGACGTTTCGGCCACAACACAAGTAGCCTTCCTCGGGTGAAGAAACAGGGATGTCCAAGCGCTGTCTTCAAGACATCCCTGTTTCTTCACCCGAGGAAGGCTACTTATGTTGTGGCCGAAACGTCGTGAGAATTTTATTCTGTTAGTGTTCTTTTTATTATTTTATCTCCATTCTACGCGACTTTACCGAAAGAACCCAGAAGATGTTGGCGTGTTCACCTCTTCCAATGTGTCTGGTCGACGTGGAAGAGTAGGCAAAAAGACCCCCAAAAAAGTAGATCCCTCCAATCTTGATTTGAAGCTTTCGTGACTGCAGGAATCCATAATCTTTGGTTCTTTCGGTAAAGTCACGTAGGTAGAAAAAAATAATAGGTCACGACGTTTCGATCGCAACAGCAAGCGACCGTCTTCAGGTGAAGCAACAACAAGCGACCGCCTTCAGGTTGTTATTGCGATCGAAACGTCGGGATGTATAATTGTCTCTACCTACGTGACTTTACCGAAAGAACCAAAAAGAGTATATAATAGATCCCTTCAGTCAGTGGAGGATTTTCCGCCAGCAGTGGCGAAGCGATAAATAATTGAAGGTTGTATCCCTTATTAAAAAAAACCACGTAGGATTTCACGACCAATATTATCCAGGAGGTTTTGGGTTAGAACTTTACCTTTAAACCGAGAACGGAGGGAAACTGCACCACGCGGCGAGGTTTGGTGCGGTCAGGCCCGCCGATCTGTATACCACTCATTACTACAAGTTTCACTGGAAAATTTGTACCGGGTCACGATTTTTGAAAACGCGTAAGATTCATGAAAACGGTTACCGGTTAAGCAGTTTGTCGTTTAACAACCCCGGTTAAGAGTCGGATTATGGAAGGACATTGGGATGCTTTAGCAAATTAATACTCTCCCTACAGGGGAGGTAGCATCTTGTCATTCAAATCTCATCGACACAGAACATCAACCCATTTGCTGTACTGTAATCTGACTGGCCACCTCATTATAATCGACAAGAGCCATTAGTGGACCATCTGTTAATAAGGCCGGCACGGCGCACTCTGGGGGTAGTGCAGCCAACACCATGCCCGATCGTCTTTAATCCCTCCAAGTGCCCATATTATTACACACATCGCACTCGTGGTCCATTAAAGCCATAGCCAAACCTCGCCACCTGGGGGGGGGAGGAGGTGCCCGAGATCGGTTCGCGTACAACGATCGCGACTGACAATTAGCCGTGGCCCATAATCTAACTCTGGTGGTGGTGGTGTGGTTGTTGTTGTTCGTCGCGCGGCTGTAGCCTGCCTACACCAATCCCAGCACACACCACTTGTACTACCACAGCCTCTCGACACGCGCGTAACGTCGACCAAAGCAAAAATTTCACTGCGACATCGGTCCGGTTACGCGGCTTTGAAGTTGTTCGCGCGACGCGGGGAGAGCCCCCCCCTCCCTTCCCCAATGAGAGACACGCGTCTAGGAGAGAGAGAGAAAGATTGAGACGGCACAAAACGGACAAAAGTGAGATGCCAGACGCACAAACGTGAGAAAACTCACCATTTCCGCGACGATAAGCAGACCCGACAGCGTCCTGAACAGTTCAGCTCCCAGAGGCAGGAGGGCTCCCGTGCCCGCAGTCAAACTCCCACCTCCAGCCATTCCCTTCCTTTCTCGACTGCCGGCAAAGCAACAATGAACGTACAACTACAATAACCACCCACCCCACCGGCAGCCTACAAAACCCGGCCGGCCAAATGATTCTGCGGTGCGCGTGTGTGATAGTGGTGCTCGGAAACAGCCCAGTAAGTTACAAAATAAGTACAGTACCCACAAAACGTACTGGGCAAGGTGACTTTGAGAGACAGCCCTACAAATAACTATGGGCTTTTTTTTTAACCAGACAAGCGGAGATGGTGAAGCCTAGGTTATTGCTTTCGACGTAGCCAAGGCAATTGTTTTTAAGCTTGCCGTTCGCGACGTCGTGTTCTATTTTGGAACAAGCCTGCGCCCGGCCGGTCGTACCAGTGATATATCCGTCGATCCGGTTATTCCTCCCAGCCCAGCCCCAAAGATCCTCACTTTTAAATCCTACTCCAGCCCGCACGTCCGCCCCCACCCTCACCAATCGCCCCCCCCCACGTCCCCTCCCCCCACGCCCCCTCCACCTCCACCCACCTTTTGCGTCCAGCCACTAAGTGGGAGGTGCCGTGTGCTATTGTTCAATCAGCCCGAGGTGCGTGTGTGAGTGTGTGTGTGTTCATCAGCCCGGTGTGTGTGTGTGTTCATCAGCCCGGTGTGTGTGTGTCCATCAGCCCGGTGTGTGCGTCCATCAGCCCGGTGTGTGTGTGTGTGTGTTCATCAGCCCGGTGTGTGTGTGTTCATCAGCCTGGTGTGTGTGTGTTCATCAGCCCGGTGTGTGTGTGTTCATCAGCCCGGTGTGTGTGTTCATCAGCCCGGTGTGTGTGTTCATCAGCCCGGTGTGTGTGTGTGTTCATCAGCCCGGTGTGTGTGTGTTCATCAGCCCGGTGTGTGTGTGTGTGTGTTCATCAGCCCGGTGTGTGTGTGTGTTCATCAGCCCGGTGTGTGTGTTCATCAGCCCGGTGTGTGTGTTCATCAGCCCGGTGTGTGTGTTCATCAGCCGCGTGTGTGTGTGTGTGTTCATCAGCCCGGTGTGTGTGTGTGTTCATCAGCCGGGTGTGTGTGTGTGTTCATCAGCCCGGTGTGTGTTCATCAGCCCGCTGTGTGTGTCCATCAGCCCGGTGTGTGTGTGTCCATCATCCCGGTGTGTGTGTGTGTCCATCAGCCCGGTGTGTGTGTGTCTATCAGCCCGATGTATGTGTGTGTCCATCAGCCCGGTGTGTGTGTGTGTTCATCAGCCCGGTGTGTGCATGTGTTCATTAGCCCGGTGTGTGTGTTCATCAGCACGGCGTGCGTGTGTGTTCATCAGCACGGTGTGTGTGTTCATCAGCACGGTGTGTGTGTGTGTCCATCAGCACGGTGTGTGTGTGTCCATCAGCACGGTGTGTGTGTGTTCATCAGCACGGCGTGCGTGTGTGTTCATCAGCACGGTGTGTGTGTTCATCAGCACGGTGTGTGTGTGTCCATCAGCACGGTGTGTGTGTGTTCCACCCGAGCTGGGTGCGTCACGTCGTCATCATTAGCGAGGAGGAGGAATTGAGGAGGAGGAGGAATTGAGGAGGATGAAAGAGGAGGAGGAATTGAGGAGGATGAATGAGGAGGAGGAATTGAGGAGGATGAATGAGAAGGAGGAGGAATTGAGGAGGATGAATGAGGAGGAGGAGGAATTGAGGAGGATGAATGAGGAGGAATTGAGGAGGATGAATGAGGAGGAATTAAGGAGGATGAATGAGGAGGAGGAGGAATTGAGGAGGATGAATGAGGAGGAGGAGGAATTGAGGAGGATGAATGAGGAGGAGGAGTTGAGGAGGATGAATGAGGAGGAGGAGGCGGTGTGCGCGTTTAAGGAACGGCGTGCGCGTCGCTTTGTGGGGTAGAGAGGCGGTAGGCTGGGAGGAAATCGACTCAATTTCCCAGCACGCCCGCACAATCTTGATCATTGTAAAAAGAAAGGAACGTCCAGCCAGCCTCCCCCTCCCCCCCCCCCATTGAACCCACGTTGCTGCAGTCTCGTGGCTAACCTGAGTCGAGTTGGCCAGAGGAATAGTAACTATTCAGGACCGCTCGTGGTGCCAATTGTCTTTTGTGTATGTGTGTGTGACTTCTAGCAGTGTCTGTCAACTGCTGTTAAGAGTGGATTGCGCGATGAGCGGTACTTGTTAAATGAAGACAAATTGTTTGGTGGCGATGAAGTTGGCAGCGGTGCACAAATAATAAACAAAAACCACTCAACAAAAACCACTCAACAAAAACCACTCAACAAAAACCACTCAACAGCCTTCGTCAATAACCCCGTGAGACCCAATGCGGGAAATTGCACAGTTGAAAGGCGACGTCTCGTGTCTACAGGCGACGTCGTCTTTTCCCGCACATGTACTATTTGTTTCCGTTTGAAACAGCGGTCATAAACAAGGCTATTGAGTCACTTGTATTGGCGATCTAAATGCATCGCTACCGACCGCTTAAATATTCCGTCCCGATGGGGGCGACCCCCTCCCCTCCCCCACGCGCGATACACAAGCGGCATAGGCCGATGTGGACAGCAGAGGGCACTGCAGCGACATGCATCGTTGTGCTGTACTATGCCACTGCGTCTATGGCCCCCGCCCCCACCCACCCCCGCCATCACGACCGCTGCGCTGGTGAGCGCGGTGGACATGTGGTCAGACGCTTCGCCTAGCAGTGGATTGGCACGCTGGCTCTGATTCCTTTGATTTCACTCTCTTCATCAAGTCTTTCGGAATCATCGTGTCTCTGGTCTCACTTGAAAACACGCATCGACCGAATGATTAGGGGGCCGTCCATAAATGACGTCACGCACCTAGGGGTGGGGGGGAGGGTCAGACATTTGTGACGATGTGTGACGAGGGGCGGGGGTTTGAGAAATGTGACGTCACATCAAAATGCGCAACTTTAAATGAATATAGACAACACGTTCTACTTCATTATATAGACTTTTTAATAAATGTTTTCTCCTACAACATCAGAGTGCAGCGCCACATTAAAGACGCCTTACAATGACAATAGTTTAAAGCGATTTGAAGCATGTTTTTGATTATTTTTTGGGGGGGGGGGGGCAGAGATTTGTGACGTCATATTTAAGGGGGGGGGGTCTGACTTTTTGTGACGCCGTGTATCATTGGGGGGTCAAAAATCGTCCAAAATCGCGTGACGTCATATATGGACGGCCCCTAGTCTCAGTGTGCCCTCGCCTCATTTAGAGACGCATGTTTGAATGATTTGATTTCGGTGGGCTGAAGCAGTAACTCATCGGCACGTTTTGTTTGCGTGACAAATCCTTTCTGGCTGTGCCGGGTGGTGGAGGGTTACGACACATTCACACCCACGCGATCTAACCCAGAATAAATCTTACCTGATCGTCAGCCACGATCCATCCACTGCTGGATGCCGGCCTCTCCCAGCCCCCCCCCCCCCCCCCCCCCGAAGCCATCACCATCTCGATGATGCGAAGTAGCAACCCACCTTCAGCAGCCTGCATGCACACGCGCTGACCTTACCGCTCGATCTCCACGGTGAACGTCCTCTCGGGCGGGTGGCCTCCCCTCGGTGGACACTCTGTCGTTATTCTCGATACTCTCCATCATTGACCCCAGAGTCGGGGAGGGAGGGGAGGGGAGGGGGGCGGACGTGTCCGCGAGGACATTCACCGTGGAGGTTGATCGATCCCGTCAACTCGTGCGCAGCAGGAGCTCAAGATGAGCGTCCGGTGCGAAAGAAGTTCAACAAGACAGACATATATTCATTCCATCGCAAAAAAAAAAACCGCGTGAGGTGACGACGGCTTGTGGGGGGGAGGGGGGTGGCGAACCTTCATCCAGCTGTGGATAGATGATGGCTGATGATAAATACATAAATTCGTGTCGACAGAGTGAAGTCGACGCACAAAAGGAGACCTCCGCCTCCTTCTGGGAAAGAACCGAACTTTAAACGCGACAGCAGCTGATGTTCACATCACCGTTTCGCTTGAGAAATTAAGGCGACGACCTTGCATCGTTCGGTGTCACATTCAACGGCAATTCTTCGCACGTGAAACGACCCATTAACAAATAAAAGCAAATTCTCTATCGCAAATGCCCTACACCCAGTGGCGGAGTGACCGCATGGGGCGTTGAAAAGGAATGAAAATGTGACCCCCCCCGCCCATCATCCCCCCCCCATCATGCCCCCCCATCATCCCCCCCCATCATCCCCCCCATCATGCCCCCATCATGCCCCCCCCATCATGCCCCCCCCATCATGCCCCCCCCCATCATGCCCCCCCCCATCATGCCCCCCCCATCATGCCCCCCCCCATCATGCCCCCCCCCATCATCCCCCCCCCCATAATGCCCCCCCCCATCATGCCCCCCCCCATCAGGCCCCCCCCATCATGCCCCCCCCATCATGCCCCCCCCATCATGCCCCCCCCATCATGCCCCCCCATCATGCCCCCCCCATCATGCCCCCCCCATCATGCCCCCCCCATCATGCCCCCCCCATCATGCCCCCCCCATCATGCCCCCCCCATCATGCCCCCCCCATCATGCCCCCCCCATCATGCCCCCCCCCATCATGCCCCCCCCATCATGCCCCCCCATCATGCCCCCCCCATCATGCCCCCCCCATCATGCCCCCCCATCATGCCCCCCCATCATGCCCCCCCCATCATGCCCCCCCCATCATGCCCCCCCCATCATGCCCCCCCCATCATGCCCCCCCCATCATGCCCCCCCATCATGCCCCCCCCATCATCCCCCCCCATCACCCCCCCATCATCCCCCCCATCATCCCCCCCCATCATCCCCCCCATCATCCCCCCCCATCATCCCCCCCCATCATGCCCCCCCCATCATGCCCCCCCCATCATGCCCCCCCCATCATGCCCCCCCCATCATGCCCCCCCCATCATGCCCCCCCATCATGCCCCCCCATCATGCCCCCCCATCATGCCCCCCCCATCATGCCCCCCCCATCATGCCCCCCCATCATGCCCCCCCCATCATGCCCCCCCATCATGCCCCCCCCATCATGCCCCCCCCATCATGCCCCCCCATCATGCCCCCCCCATCATGCCCCCCCCATCATGCCCCCCCCATCATGCCCCCCCCATCATGCCCCCCCCATCATGCCCCCCCATCATGCCCCCCCATCATGCCCCCCCCATCATGCCCCCCCCATCATGCCCCCCCCATCATGCCCCCCCCATCATGCCCCCCCCATCATCCCCCCCCATCATCCCCCCCCATCACCCCCCCATCATCCCCCCCCATCATCCCCCCCCATCATCCCCCCCATCATCCCCCCCATCATCCCCCCCCATCATCCCCCCCATCATCCCCCCCCCATCATCATCCCCCCCCCATCATCATCCCCCCCCATCCCCCCCATCCCCCCCATCATCCCCCCGCCACCTCCTCCCCCCGCCACCCCCCCCCCCGCCACCTCCTCCCCCCGCATCTTCGTCGTCTATCGCTTGGGGTACAGTGACACGGTCTGCATTACTCGATAAGCCTCGGCACCCAATATTTCTGTTCCGAGCTCGTGTGAATCACGTCACGCACAGCGCGCACAGGTGGTCCGGCACTCATTATGTGCCATGCCGTTCTGTTCATGGCGCAGGTGCAACGAATTAATCCACAATCACTTTCTCTCACAGCCCGAATCAAATGCGCCGCGCGGGCGAACTTGTCTTACGTAATTGCAGTCGCGTCAAAGCTCTTACATTCTTTCCCTTGCTCAGAATGAGCAATTACCTTTGCGACACAGAGCCATTGTGCAGTATTGACAATTCCACATTCCATATGTTAAGGGGGCCAGTCTGTCCTTTGGAAATAAATGTAGCGTTTGAAGGCCTCGAAAATCCTGCTAAACGGTGATGTTCGTCATAACGGATAAACTTTAACCGTCATTTTATTTACACTCACAATGTTTATATCTCTAGGACCAGTTTTGCCATTATCAAAATAATGAACATATAATAGGCTTTACCCTCTCTGGCAAGAATGCAGGAGGTGTTAAAACGTTCAAACGCCAAAGAGACGCCTATTGTAAGGCATCAGGTCTGCATTAACCACATGCTTGTGGTAAAACATGGAAACAAACGAGATTGATAATATGGGACCTTTCTTGCCGGTATCAAATTATATAGGTTTTACCCTATTCACCACCCTATTTACCCTATTCACCACACGTAAGTGTGGTTAATAGGTTTTACCATATTCACCACCCTATTTACCCTATTCACCACACATAAGTGTGGTTAATAGGTTTTACCCTATTCACCACCCTATTTAACCTATTCACCACACGTAAGTAAGTGTGGTGAATAGGGTAAATAGGGTGAATGCAGACAAGATTCCTTGCAAAAAGGCTTCAGTTTGGTGTTTTTTTTACATCTTAACACAGCTGTTTTATTGCCAGAAAGGGTAAAACCTATTCTTATATGTCCTTGATAATGCATGCAGAGAGAGTCTCCTTTATGGCCTTGTCTCACCGGTGTCACCACCGTAGCCACAAGCATGTGTGGCTAATGCAGACTTGGTGCCTTGCCATTGGTGTCTGTTTTGGTGTTTGAACATCTTAACAGCTGTATAATTGCTGGGAAGGTTAAAGACAATTATTTTTTTTGCACTCACAATTTAGCATAACTTTGGGATTTCAAAAGCCCTTGTAAAGGCTTCCATCAATGTCTGCCCACGTATCTTCATTGCTTCAACGTTCAAACTCTTCAGCACAATTTCAAATCAGACACAAAGTTAGAACCAATTCCCCTGGCTCCTTACCACAGTGTCCTTTCCAAGTCCCACCAGGTTTGTTTAGATCTGGGACTTGGGGTCTAAACAAACAATTCTGAAACATCGCCTGATAAAGCTGGTTGTAAATGTCGTGGGTTTACTCTCATACACACTGGCGTGCTGAAGTAGTTACTAATTGACACTTTTTTTATCTAACAAACCTTACTAATTGGCTGTGTCGGGTGGTGGTGAGTGGGATCAAACCCAAAAAAAACCTTTTTTATGGAGATCTCCCTTCTCAGATCTCCAACTTGTCATTATTATTAAATCCCCCCCTTCACCCCTCCAGCCTTCCCACAATGCCAGCCTATTCCAACCAAATGAAAAACGCCACAATGCACAATCAACACAGTGGTTGGTTTAACAATTAAACACTCACCTTTTGTCCTCTTGCTAACAGAAAACAACTTCCTTCCTGCACAGAAATTGATGTCTGAATCACTTAAATTAGCCATTGTCTGTAAAACATTGTTTTCTGCTGAACAGCCCCTCAGCAAACTAGAGCAACACCTTTGAAAACACGCCAAAGAAGCAGACGTTTTTTTTTTAAACCATAAACCCCGTACACAATAGCCTCACACTATACTATTAGTTTAAGGGATTAAGATAACGAATACCCTACACAGCCAGTACACTGTTTTGAAAAACGGTGGTTCACTGCATGTCACATACAAGGCTCCAAACAGACAAACTTAAGAAAGGGATCAGATTATAAGAGAAGCATTAGAACGGCCTTAAACAGTGCTGCCCAGCTGCCTTTTTTTGTTTGTTATTAAAGCCAACCATCCATACGGCAGAATGACAGTTTTTTAATTCACAAGAGAGATAATGAACCCTTGATGGGCTCTCAGCTGTGTCGATAAATATTAAGCGAGAGTAACACACACTTAACTAAAAGCATTTACAAGTCACCTGCGCACATTATGAAAAGAAAATATAAAAAAAAACTAAATACATTGCATGGGCGTGCGTGAAAGTAAAACTCAGCAGAAAGTAAGGGTAAGAATCTGTCGAAGAGGAGTGGTACGAGTTAAACGTGTAAAAAAATAAAGTGTTGAACTTAAAGTGAAATGTCATTAACCAAAACTAAACGTATAGCCCTTTGTAAAAAAAAGAAATGCATTGTTGGATGAAGGCCTTCCCCAACTACTAGTCTTGGAATTTGTTTGACCATACTTGACCACGCTGGTTATTGCAGGCTGGTAAGGGGAGTGGAGTGGCACTGATTCAGATATCACTCTCCACTGATGTTGGCTGTAGTTGGGAATCAAACTCAGGTCGTTGGGTTAGTCCCACACTGCAATGCCGCTCCCCAAAATTGTCTTCACTATACAGTGCATCGCATCGCTGACTAAATATATATATCCGCATGTAGTTTGACTGTCATTTTCTATGGATGTTTACAAATATTTAGACTTAAAACTTTCGTGACTGCAGGAATTCATATTATTGGTTCTTTCGGTAAGGTCACGTAAATGGAAGACAAAAAAATTAAATAAACCCACGCCGTTTCGATCGCAACACACAAGCGGTCTTCATCGGGCGGAGACCGCTTTTGTGTTGCGATCGAAACGTCGTGGGTTTTTACTTATTTTATTTTTGATTTTTCATCAGGCGGAGAGAAGACCGCTTGTGTGTTGCGATCGAAACGTCGTGGGTTTTTACTTATTTTATTTTTGATTTTTCATCAGGCGGAGAGAAGACCGCTTTTGTGTTGCGATCGAAACGGCGTGGGGGTTTTGCTTTTTTTTATATTTACGTGACTTTACAAATCTTATCTTTTCACACTCAGGAATGTATTCTTAAACTCGGGTACATTCACTTCAAAAGCAGTAAAGTATTTGTCTATGGTTTCAAGAAGTTCACCCGTTTTTGTCCAGTGACATATTTTGTGTGTGGTGCAAGTGTCACATTTTCTATGCCTTTTCGCATATTTGCCAATACCTCAGTCGCAAGCAAGTTGGATATGCAACGCCGTTCTGTAGCATATATGATACTTCATAAACTTCAAGTGAAATGTTCAAATACAAAAATGAGGCAATATGGTCCAGTATATATATTTCAGATTTTTATTTGCATAGAACAGTGGAGATAACAGTTTCCAGTACAATATTTACAAATAGTTAATATCACGTGACAAAACAATGTCATTCGACAAGGATGTGTATTATTTCACACGTGGGGAAAAAAAATTCATTCGATATTTCTACACGTGTGAAAGGTGGAAAAGAAAACAATAATCCGAAAAGAAAATATAACGATAATCCTAGTCTTATCATTCTCAACCCCTAGCTACAACTTTGTATAAACAATGTTGCCATTGTTCTTGCGTAGTTTGCTTGGCACGAATATCGATCGCGCAAAGGAGGGAATGGAACTTTCCAAGGTTCAGGCTCTCTGATAAAAAATTGGCGCAAAACAAATTACTCGGAGCGCTATTAAGGCCACTAAAACGTCCTGGTTTTGGCCGGAACAGGCCACGTTTCAGAAAAGCTGCCTTGGTGTGCAAACTATTTTAAAATGTCCTGGGTTCCATGCTTGCTTAATGATACCGGCCATGGGGGAAAGCTACCCGAGTAGTGGGTGGGGTTTATAGTGGGCAGGGCCTGTGGGTAGTAAGCAGGGCCAATGTAAGAAAGAGGGAGGCCACTGAGAGTGTGGACAGTGCTAGTGATGGAGTGGGCGTGGTTATGAAAAAGTGGGCGGGGTTGACAAATGAATTAGCTGCCAGCTCAATTTGTCCTAGTTGAGCATCAAAATACATTTGGTCGATTTAGGTGTAATGATACAGCAATTAACCAATTAAAATGTATTCTTATGCTCATGATATGTGCAATAAATCACACGTGCAGATTTTTTATTCGGGTAACTATTCGATCCACCAGAGCCCACTTTATATATAAAAAAAATCACGATAAAAATAATCCAATGTAAACCTCAGATTCCTGATAATTAATTGAATATGAGGGGGACAAATCACGACACACCAACAAATGACCCCTTACAAAATGGATTTCTACAATTTGCTTCATAATCACAACGTGCATCGGTATTGCCTTTGCATACATCAGCACACGGAGCCAGAGTGTGCAGGCAGTGCAACTGCACTGGGGTCCACTGGAAAAAAAGGCCTCCGGTTCTGGGCAATGAAGGGGGGGGGGGGGGGAGGCGTGGGGCAACCCATTTCATTCCTTGTACCCGGGCCCATGCCAACCGGGCGAAATTGGAAGTCCCACTGTCGAAATATGGGGTCAAATTTGGAAGGATGTAATAAGACAAAGTCTGGCAATTATACACATTTCAGTGTTAAAATATTTATCTCACCTCTTTGTGTGAATCGTAATACTACATAATTATATTTATTGCCAAAATGCTCAGCAGAATCACAAGGCATTTTCAGTAAGGTCCTCCATTGGTATCTTTGTGAATTCCTCAACTCTCTCATGCGTCGTGTTCACTGTGGTCGACTGCTATGCTATATAGGTGAAAGCTATTTAATCATACGTAACATTTCCATCACGTTTCGGGGGTTCCTGTGCATGTGAGGGTTATGAATTGTAGATGGGAGGACACCAGGATTCTTGGAGAAATCTCACACGGACAAAGTATAAAACACTTTGAGCAGCAATACTGACAACCTAATTGTTGTCCTTCATGAAAACTCTCTACATGCTGTGGTGGAGGCTCATAGGTAATGTCTATTGAATAGACAGGAAGTCCACCTCTCCATATAATCAATATACATTTACATACAGGATATAGAGCCCATAGTTTTCCGGTGTACATGTCGAGTTACGCTTGATGTCTGTTTATTATTTGTGTGCGTCACTCTTTTGCTACTTGGGGGATTGGTGGCGCAGTTGTCAGTGAACTGTGTTACCGGCCACATGGTATATCACCAGCAGCGCCTGACATCTGGGTAACACCCCACACTGCACCTTTACTAAACATTTCAACTTATAACAGGCGCAGTGTTTGCTCGCTCTCTAAGAGAAAGAATGACTCGGAGGCGCGAGGGGCCACAGACAAGCGGGAAGGCAGCCACAAAGTGAGGCGATGCCAACGTTTGCCCAAGCTCTGGGGCCGTCGATACAAGAAGTTTTCAGCCAATTAATTCTGTTTACATGTGCGAGAAAACCGGAGCACTTGCAGGAAATCCACGTGTTTGAGGGGACAATGCTCTATCCCATACAGATAGAGCAGGTGGAGCTCCCATTTGCTCTATCTGCCTTCTCCTGACAAGCTAGGGCATGGCACCTCGACACCCACGCTTGATTAGCGTACCAAAATAGTAAACACAACCCCCATGGCAATACGTTGTGGGTATGCAAAGGGCTGAAAATAAACATTGTTTTTATTATTATACTATTCATTGGTAAGTGTAATCAAGCAGACTCGGAGTCCCACGCAGATGGTGACATCAGCATGATCCACCATGCTGATGTCACCATCTGCATGGTGCTAGAGTACTGGATTGCACGTGGACAATACTACGCCCAGCCACAGTAACATTATACCAATACAATTGAATACACACAAAGTATGTAGAATAGGCTTGCTTTCGAATTGACGATAATGTTTGGAGCAGGCAGCTTCTTGGAGACGAATCAATTCAGCTTCCACCGCTGGATGCTGATGAATGCGCTGACCGCGTACAGGCCCGTGGTCAAAAACGCAAACACCTGGGAAGGAAAAAGTGGAAGGAGAAATGAAAACATCTCTACTTATGAATTATCTGTTTAATGGGAAATGTCTGTATAGTGTTTTACAAAAAATATTGATACTCACGTGTAGGATTCAATACATGTGTCATAAGTGTAAGAATGGACGATTAATAGATGAACAAATGCATCGTTACAGCCCGAGTTAATTACGTTTTTTTGTCGCTCAATGTGTGGAAAAACAATGTTACTTATTTATCATTCTAATTATTCTACCACCATTTCAATATCTGGAAGTAGAAAACATGGAAGCACTTGGAAAGACTGAAACATGGAAACAGTAAAAAATACAGGTCGCACCACATTAAAGTATTTTTTTTTTATGTAAGACTGCCAAGTAAATAATAGTTAATCCAATTGAACAGTGCATGGTGTGTACAGTGGGATGTGTCTAAATGACATTCTGCTGTACACAATGGAACATCCTATTTCCTGCTGATTGAATGATAATACATTTAATTATTTAGGGGCGGAACTAGGACTACATTTAAGCTAGAAGAGTTCTGAAAGCTGTTCTGGAAATGTCACCTTATGTTTAAAAAAAAAAAATCCTGTTCATAGTATTTTAGGAACGTAAGGTACAATAATATGGGATTGTTATGGATAGGTGCACCTTGTACTCTACTGGTAGTACCTTACACCAATAATCCCTACTCCAAACCAGCTGAACAGTGTTCTGGAAAATATTGATTGAGAAATCAAGATGTGGGTGGAACATTTGACCTCTAGCAATATGATTAATTCTGATGGTTCAGGCATGAGTGTTTTCAACGTTCTTATTTTTACCTTGGCGTTTAATGGCAGTACCTCTAGTGGCTGCAGGGGGTGATGCTAACTAATTACATACCCCCATATAAAAAAAAAACAAGGAAAAAAAAACATTCACACGCGATTAATTGCATTTCCATCAAAAGTGGCATGTAGCGAAGGGGGCATGAAATCCCACAGTACCGTTGCAGCGACATTAACGCGATACAAGTGAAGGATTGCTCCCTGAACGTCCGTATTGCCGCGACCGCACTCTTCGATGTACACGTTGAGCATGGCGATGGTGGCGTTGACCTGCAGCACTGAAGCACTCAGGTAGAGCGTGAACGCGAGCATGTTGAGCGCCAAGTCCTGCAACGCGGCCATCGCAAGCAAAAGCAACGGGGGATGGCGCATCAGCAGCGCGGGGTGACCATGTGTGTGCGACACAAAATTATTACAACGCCGTCATTATTAGAATGCACTAACGCAATTGAAAATAGAACGATGCAGGTTCTTTATTTACTCAGAGATCCTCAGGTTCGTGGTAATAATGATTCGTCATGTTTACACCACAAATGAGCCAAATCTCAAAGTGCATTGTGAAATGACCACAAATTAAAAATGTAACGATGCACACAAAAAAACATAGAATTACGGAGGGCTAGAACAACAAAACGACAAATCCTTGTACTATAAACTAAGAGTCATTCTGGAAAGACTGTGCCCGAAGATGTTCAGACAGCAACACTCCTGAACTTTTTGGTGTGCATAGGCAGCGAATTTGAAAGTCCTGGCACAGCACGAACCAAACTCAGGATTGTACCACCACCGTGACGAGCTTCGTGGAGAACATCAACCTCAGACATTGTTTGAGTGGAGAGTCCTTGACGGGCTATATTCAACAGATCACAGCTATATAGAGGCCCCAAACTGTTCAATACTTTGTACATAACCAATAGCAAACAAAAAAAACCATATATAACATCCCATGTAAATTGTACTAATAATTGGTGTCATATTTTTCAATCGTGATTTGACCTATTCAATGCTTCTACGTATTGAACATCGTTATAGAAGGCCACATTTTGCAGATGTTGTAAATGTTTGGTATAATATAAAATCAATCTCAACAACTTGTTTTCAAGAAGGTCCTATGTGAGCTGTTTGGCCACTACCTAACAGGGTACAGGTATTCTTAGTTTTTTCGGTAAAGTCACGTTGAAGAGAAACAACAAAATAACAAAATATATATAAAACAATAAAAATTCTCACGACGTTTCGACCACATTTATTTATTTATATATAAATAAATAAATGTGCCGTTTTTTAAAATAAATTTATGCAAACCGACACACCTGATGATGACCGTTTGAGTTATGGTCGAAACGTCGTGAGAATTTTTATTGTTTTATATATATTTTGTTATTTTGTTGTTTCTCTTCAACGTGACTTTACCGAAAAAACTAAGAATATGAATTACTGCAGTCATGAAAGCTTTAAATCAAAATTTAGGGTACAGGTACTGTTTTTGTTTGTTATTTGTTGAGAGTAAACAGGAGCTTGAGCAGCACACTCTCGTCTCCCCCAGTATCGATGGCCACAATGCACCAGGTGCTCATTAATGGTTGAGTTGACCCAGGGGAAGCTAAAATCAAATTCAACCTTTCATTGGCGTTGTGCATCATGGTCAGGGATCGAACCCAGGTTACCAGGATCATGGCAGAAAGTGCAGACCACCACAACCACCGCTCTACACACAGCTATAAACACATACATTATGTTGAGATCGTACTATTGGCAATGGATGGATTATTGAGGTGAAGTCGTCAGCGCAATATCGTATAAACCCAGCCCACCAAGTTCGATTTCCGTCTATAGCTAGCATCAGTGGTGAGCGATATCTGATCCGGACATGGTCACCTCCTTCAGGGGAGGATAGTGCAGAAAAACCCATGATTATACTGCACTTTATATGCTCCTATGTAATATACCCTTCCACTACCAATCCAAACTGCAATTACCAGCATGTGGTAAACTATGGCAAATACGCCTCACTAGGCACGCAGTGTGGGGTGATAGATAGACAAAAGGGCCCTACAGTATTGTTATTATAGTGTAAAGTTAAAACCAGATGAGACCCCACTGTGACACAGCACCAGGTGTATACCAGGTACAAATGATTTTCAATGTATTTACAAGTTAAAGCTTCAATTATTTAATTGTAATTTAATGTAACTATTAAAAAAATATTAGGGGGTTTTTGCTTTAATTCGTCTCAATTTATTATTTTTATTAAAAAAATGTAGTTTTCTATCTACGTGACTTTACCGAAAGAACCAAAAATATAAATTATCGCTCTCCCTAACCCTATTACACACACACGCTGTGTTGTTTATCACGAGAATGATCACCCACAAATAATGAGTTCCTCAGAGCCATAGCAATGGATATCTTTTTACCAGATGGATCCAAGTGCTGCTCTGCTTTGCTGTCCCAGTGAGGTAGAGCACCAGCTGGATGATGGAGAACACGCAAAACATGACGGAGACCAACATCACCCATCCCTGGTGCATCTCGGTGCCACGGAGTTGCGTCGAGGCCACCAGGATCCATACGAGGGCCCCAGATACCTGCCACCAGCAAAGAGACCAACGTTCACACGATACCCACAGAACGTGTGCTTCCCTGCTGAGAATACTGTGGTTATTGCTTCCAAGAAAAATCAGTGTCCTCGCTTAATAAAAATAGATGAAGACATCAGTTTAACACGTAGGCTTTCGCGACCAATATCATCCATAAGAGGTTTTTGGGTTACATCGCGTGAATATGTGTCGTTAAACCCGCCCACCACCCGAGACTGTCAACTAGGAAGGGTTGTGTACAGGATTAACTGCACGTGGTAAATGTTATGTTGGGCAAACAGGACGAATGATCAGCACGAGACTAAAATAACATCAGAGAAATATTAAATTCTCCCGAATGCAACTGTCAGCAGTAGCAGAACACGCGTGCCAACAAGGACACCCAATTGATTTTGATAATGTTGAAGTTTTGTGCAAAACTAGCTATTACTGGCCAAGACTATTTAGAGAATCTATCGTAATTTAAAGAAATAAAAATAACTGTAACCGTTCGGATAGCTACCGTCTTAGTGCTGCGTGGAAGCGAATCAACAAATAAAACATTATTTTAAATGCATGCCTACAAAGGGCAGCGTACTTCAATGGGGATTACCGTTGGTCGGGCTATTTTAATAAACACAATAGACAGGAAGGACAAGTTCAAAGGGCTCGCGTAATGCACATGCGTAATGTACGTTGACTCAGTAACCCCCCCCCCCCCCCCCACATTGTGCAAGAGCACAGTAGGATGGTCAAAACATCTACGCCTCTATATAAGGAACGAAACAGTTAGACTTCTCCACAAATTTGGCTGTCGCCTGATGAAGCTAGTTGTAATTACTGGCGAAACGTCGTACTTAGATTGTAAATGTTGTGGCTTGGCTCTCCAACACACCGGTGTGGCTGTACTAGTGACGAAATGGCCACGTTCTGTTTACGTGACACAACCCTTACGAGTTGGCTGTGTCGGGTGGTGGCAGGTTTTAACGACGCATGTATATATTTACGCGATCTAACCCAAAAAAACCTCTATTAGATATGGAGACATATTTCACAAGTAGATTAATCAGTGGAACAGTTACACTGAGACAACATGAAGTAACAAAATACACATCGCAAGGGGATGGCGCACAAGAGAGACGGCGCTTTAGACGATGTTATTCACAGCCACATTAGACGATGTTTTCACAACATTTTTACGGGATAATTAAGAGGCATGCCCTGAATGGAGCGAAATATAAACCATCTCACATTTCCTCATGACACAGCCATTTGAACAATCAATGGTAATGAGTTATGGTAACTTACTGAAATATGTAACAAAGAAGGGAGTAAAGTTGGGCCTGAAGATAAATGAACTCAAATTAAAAGTCATGGAGAAACTTTGCTAATCCAAAGATGCTACTTGTCGGAATAACAACTGAAAACATGCCAGAGTATCTTCACTTATGACAATTATTGAAGATAGACTAGAATTATAGTGAGGAAATAAACACGCAAATGAACATGTAAGTGAGAGCGTAATAAAGCGCTTTGGGAAAACTCATCTTGATTATGAAAAGCAACATGTAAAAGTTCAATCACTCTGTAATTCGTGCAGTGAATACGAATCGGAAACAAACAAAAACAGTGACAATTGCAATGGAGCAATATATTCCAAGTGCATGAAGAGGCACGGACAGAAGTATGTGGTGGCATTATACTGGAACAGAAAGGGGGAACACATTAAAACAAATTCGTGGCAATTGGAAATGGGTCAAGATCTGTTCCAAGTGATATGCATTGCTAAATAATAAAACATTCCATTTTCGTACAGTGGGGTACATGGGTTGCACAATATGGACACGAAAAGGCCAAAGGTTGCCTCTTGGTCCAAGGTCATATTTTACAAGTGCAGTCGGTGACGGTGGACACAGAACTCGTTCGGATATAACTCGCTGCTTATTTTAGCAGTGGACTGGTGTCAAACCCATGTTGCCGGGTTCATTGGACAGAGTATTATTCATTGTGCCAATGCTCCACAAAGTAATTTTTTTTATTAGCAGAAATTACCTGTTTTTTGTGTTGCAAGGAGGCATTTTTTATTATTGTTTTTTTCTTTCATTTCAATAACCCATTTCTCCATGCGACCTTGTTTTTTGTCTTGCCACTCACATCTTCCATGGCAAATAAAGGAAGTGATTCGAGTCGAATTAATTGGAAAGTATCCAATGTAAATAAGGACATAGATAAGCAGGCAATGTCTCCTACACAATATTCTACGTCAAAATCATTCTTACACAACCCATTGGCCCCACGGCATTTTGGGAGCACATTATTTTAGCAGCATCTAGCATGAGCAAACTCTGGACCAATTTTGACGCTGTGCGTCATATCAGCAGCTATTATTAGGGTAATGTAATTAAACATGATTCTAAATTCCCATCACAAAAAATGCTTTATTTATACATTTTCCCTAAATGTAAGACCTTCATGAACGCATTGGGCTTAAGGTCTTTGCAATGGCTTTTAAGGTAAACATTTGCACTAACAGTACGCTTTTAATATAGCTACAAATAATATAGACCGTAACAGACATTTAACCCTCATAAAAGTAAACGGCGTGTAAAATTGTATTTATTTCACACACAATGACAATACAGATGGCCTTAGCAGGTACTGTGAGCGAGGATATATTCAGTCCAGCAGAGAGCAAAACTAACAGGGAGAAGACAGATTGTTTTAATTTCTTTTAAAGCATCTGTAAGTTTACAACTAATACACCGAATGACCTCTCTTCTCTGCAATATATGAAACCATCGCTTTGACAATATTTAACGACCTGTTAATAAGATGGTCATTAAAGATTCGTAGAGTCTCGATAAATAGATAACACCCGGCACTAGCACACACATTCATAGATTAGTTGTAAATACATGTTATACCGCACCTGCTGAATTAGATGATACAGTGACCCGAGAATACGGAATGAGCTTAGTATCAACCAATTTAAGAAAATGTCAGACCACAGAAAAAAGTTCCACATTGCTATGTTGAATACGCATGTACGTTGAAGTTTTGTCGCACCATACGTAGCCAACCAGGCGAATCGGATGTGTATGTATCGGACGAATACAGTTCACTTCCCACTAAGTGGCATCTATTTTATTGACCTAGGGTTTATTATAGGCTTGGTCAACTCCCATTGGGGCGAATCGAGTATTTTAGTTAGATTTACCACCCAGTTAATCATTGTCAGCAAGCGTTTTACAATTGCGAGTAAATTTAGTTTAAATACGGAGTGTCCGGTGGAGCAGTGGCGCAGTGGTTAGCGCACCGAGTTCAATTTCCGACCATGGCTCACGTCGGTGGCGAGTCATCCCTCCCCCATTCACCAACACGCACTGACCAGCCTGGTGAAATGTGGTCAAACAAACAGAGCAGTATTATATAGCATTTAAATAAAGTCTTGATTTCTAATTTGATGGTTCCGTAACGCTGCTCGGCTGGCTTGGAAGGCACTGGACTACAAAGTATGTCCATCAATAACAATCCTCGATTATTGGACTATACCTTTTATTATCGTACCCTGTATTCCTAGGACACAATGACACCACGGTATCGTGCGGACACCAAGAGGAGAGATGGGGCCTGGCAAAATAAAACAGAATTGGAACAGCCCCAATTCCGGACTGAACTTAGTACACGCCGCATTCATCCAGCAGTGGCCCGACAAATGGGCTCTAAAACACCCTCAGTGTCATTCTGCGAAACAACACCTGCTATATACGTGTGTTTTTGCTCCCTTTAAAGACGTTTTATTGACGAAATGTAATTAGGTTGTTTGCTTGTGCTGGTCAAAGTGCAAAAAAGTGTCCTGACGGGCGATGTGGCATGGAGGCGATGTGTGAAATGCACCACATGGAGGTGAAGTATACACGGACGTCCCTCGATGTAGAGGACAGATAAGCTGCCGAAAAGTTGTCCATTAAGCGAAATTCCACGGACGGCATTGAGTTGGCCGTGCCACGAGGGATGGATGACTGCACTGTAGAATTCCGCCCTTTCCACAAATGCACACGGGGAAGATGAATCTGAATGACGGAATTCACTCGACTGTATTGTGAACGTATACATACATACCCTGGAAAGCCTCGCCGAATGTGGTGACTCAATTCGGATTACGCGTTGCAACAACATTACCTGGGAAAGAGTCAATTGAGTCTCATGACCGTCTTCCGTACGATCTGCCGTTTAAAGATCCCATAGAGTCGCGGGCTCGTGTCAAAGTGATTTGTTGTGCAAGCAAGCCCTTAAGATTTCCAAAATCGCTGCTGTCAGCGAGTACCCGCTGAATTGCGAGTGCACAAAACGCACAGCGCAAATCAACACGCCTGGCCACCTTGATCTCACCAGCCCGGGGCATTCGCCTTGTGTAAAGAACGACTGCAAGGCTGAGTAGATCTAGCTGGGCTCCTACGTGGTCTGCGGCTTGAAGCTTGGCGGGCCGCTGTTCCACTCCGTGCTATGCTGCTGTGCTCCAAGCCATGGCCACGGACAGAGAATTCGATCCGAGCGCAGCAAGGGCACCCGTGTGGCTGCGCGCGAACCATGATGCCACCGCTAAACACAGGACACGGGGACCCCCCCTCCCTCCCCTCCCAATTATAGTCCGCAAAGGTTGTTTTGGGGGCAAGTGCGGCTTGGTCGTTAGCGAGCGCCGATCATGAGGCCCGAATGGCACCTTCGATCAGCGCGGTTGGCTACGTACGGCGCGAAAGAAGTTCAACGTACAAACGTGAATGGCTGACTGGTAAACGCGCACGCGCGCGACCCCCCGCCCGTCTCTCCTAAGCGGCGATGTTCACGCACCGCACCCAGTTAAGCATGAGTCAACCTAGGGGTATGCCCAGACGGACCGGTTCAAAAATTAATCGCTGTTGGCCGCGAGCCGCGTTCGCAGCGCGCTTCCTTGACCAATGCAACACTCCCGCTGGGCCACCCGTGTTACCTACCGCTGGTACACGCAAAGACCCCCCCCACCCACCCCACCCCGTATGTCTGTGGTGTCAGCGAGCACCCGTTTACACGCGGAGGAGCAAGCCGAGCAGACTCACCAGCTCTGGGATGATGATGATCCCCGATGGGCTCCTGATGGTGTCGGCTCCCAGAGGGAGCTCCGCTGAGAGCGTGCACATCTGGCCACTGCCAGCACCTTGCCCCGCTCCGGCTGCCATCGTCAAACACGTGGCGAGTGGCAGGCGGGGTGCGGGGCGTGCGGGCACGCGTGGAGACGAAGGAACTCGCGGTCGAATGTGGTTGGCGATGGGGCGGTTGCCAAAGTTGTGGGCCCAACGAGCGGAGATTACAGGATAGCCTTGGTGGTAATCCACAAGCCAACAGTCGTGCCGCAAATACGCGACAGCGGTACGCCGATACTATACATGCACGGTGGGCAACGCCTGATTATCAGCGCACTCAACTGGCTGTAGAAGGCAATTAGGAGCAGAAGGCTGCTCTGCGTTTAATGCGCACACACGCGCGCATATATTTTAGTCGATCGCACAATTGGGTGGGTCGCCGAGCGAAACTTATCCGGCAGTAGAGAAAGACACACCGAGAACTGGTTAGTGCGGTTTATTTTGTGCAGCGTAGCAATAGCCTAAAGGGCTACTTTGTCGTTGCTTATTTTATAGTGACGGATAATACCTCCTCCACACCGCAGTGTACCAGACTGCGATTCCTGTTATCATAACCGATATGGAAATCAGTCGACTTTAACCAAAATTGTGTCCATTGAAAATCATCTAATTAGTAAGCGAGCAGTGGACCTGACAATTATGATGGAAAGTGACAATTAGTGGTATGCGAGACCTATGTACTTTTTCAAAAGGGTAAACAACACCCTTTAAGAAAGTCACAATTCGTATGATACGCAATCTCGGTGGTGATTGTGCAATGCACATAAGACAGCGACATTTGTGACTTTGTCTGCACAGCTATAAAAGTGCTCGCTTCAAAGGGGTGGAATTGAGGTTCCAGACACAACAGAGAATGCTTATGTAAACCCTACGACGAGCGCTCGTTATACATTAACCCGGCGCACATACCGTTTATACAACGTGAAAGTTTACTGGCGCCTAATTATTAGCCAGTCTGTGGACAAATCACTCGGAATGCGCCCGATCTCGTCACACCTCCGAGGCTCTGCAGGTTGAGCCTGGATAGCGCTTGGATGGGCGACATACCAACGACCTTCCGAGTGGTCATTCGGCGGCTGCGCAGGGAATGGTGCAAGGATATTCATCACTGCATTGTACATGCTATGCCCCCCCCCCCCACCACGTCCAAGATCTCCCTACAGCTCCACCAACCCACAGAGCAGCGTGATGAACGACGTTATGCAATGCCTGCTACGACTCGCATGGTAAGGGGAGTGGATTGACAAACAGGCGGTGCATTTATCCGAGCCAACAATGAAGCGACAATGGCGATCATTTATTTTAGCTGGCCGATAATTAACGAGACGTCGGTTGAAGGACACGGGGATGCATCGTCTTAACCAGCTGTCAGAAATCAGAATGCGAGCGGAGTCACAATCAGCCATGATCTAGCCACTGGTGGATGGAGGTCTCCTCGCCCGAGAAGATACCAGCTAATGTGCAAGAGCTAAATGGATTGTATCGTGAGAAAAAATACGTTGTGAATGTTCAAATCCATTAAAATATGCCAACGGTTGTTACGGTTGATGTGGCCGCTGGGTAGTTTGACGTGCAGTGTAATCCGAGACGTGGATTCGAACGCGTATTTATCAACGTCCGGTTCATATCTCCTGCCCATCTCTACCCCCCCCCCTTCCAATCATCAAGTGATGATTGTGTTCTCCAAACTTACCCCCAAAGTGCTACATGTTTATGATTCGTCAACCATGGAATAATTTAATTCGAGAAAAAAAATTGTCAGTTGCAAAGCATATTCATATCGACAGCAACAAAATTAACAATTTTACCCTGCCGTTTTAAATTCGGTGTGGTTTTCAACCTCACGCATGCACGCCAAAACATTGCGAAAACATGAATACGAATACTGATGTACCAGTTATCTTACATTCCTTTGCTCAGGAAAGTAATCTCTGCGCGTCATTTCATTGTTGTGCATGATCAATTAAGTGATGGTTCTTAAGTGACAATCAAAATAGTAAATTATAGCTAGAATATTTTAAAAGATCGTTTCGTACCACAAACAGGAATGAGGTTGGTGTAAATCATGTTTTTGATGGAGAAGTATACATTTTTTTTAAATAGCGCAATGATAGTTAACCTTTCATCCATTATTTATGGAGTAAACGCAAAAATTGTTAAAAGCCAAAACAGTACAGCGATGCCAATGAATACACTTCACATTTTTAAACTTTTCTCTACAAGCTTCTTGGCTCGGTACTCGCTTCAAAATTACAATCTTTTTTTTATTTGTCACCAACTTGTGCACAGTCGACCAGGCAGCAGTAATTCCGTGTACTCGCCGCAACACGCACACATTCAACTGTGCATCGTGAAAGAGTAACAATGCACTCTTATTTTGTAACAAAGCTAAGTTTCCCCGTCGTATACATGATCACATTTGCAAGGGGACAAAGATAATGGAACGGTACTTTTTTGACACGAGCAGCTTTACGGGCCGCGTATTTACGTATGGATGGAGTTCAAGCAACGTCGATTCAGGAACCTCCGACAAAGTGGCATACGCACCGACAATGACTCGACGGCCATGACTGCGAAAGCTTCGCTTACGGCGTAATGTGGGCGAGGCTAAAGCTTTCTATGGCTCTTTTTACTACAAGGCAAATCTCCAGATAACACTCCACGTTCCCATATACACCATTGCTTGATTTGCAAATGTGAAAGTGGTAGACCTAAAAATACCAAGTATGAAGGTCAAAGTGCCTACACATATATATCTGCAGGAGGATCGGCAGACGAAGCATATAGTGTATGCGTTTATCAATGCATATTCATTTACAATGAAATGTTTTACTTCATAAACAAGGCCGTGTCGATGATTTGGGTGAACAATGTCAGTACGAGTGCAGTCCTCTTTCCCCTGGCCACACCCAAGGGTGAAAATCAAAGACAAAGAATTTAATATGCTAGCTTTTTCCCTTCAAGTAAAACCAATTTCAATTAAACAGTTTGACTACACGTCACATGAATGATAATTAAATGATCTGAAAACACTACCACAACCTGCTTCGAAGAGGTGGTTTGTGTTGTGAAAAGTAGAGGTCATGTTTACAATTAATTTCCCTTCAAGTAAAAAAAGGGCCAGTTACTACACAACACCCCATCAAAATAAACTGAAAATGTATGCAATCATATAAACACCTATAAAATAAACCAACAGAAAAAGTACTTTTTGAAAATTTTAAAGCTTTTTTTTGTAAAAAGGCAGTGAAATTTACAAACACAATTTGCGAACCGGAAATCTTCTGCAAGGAATTTTTATCCTGAAAATACATTTCAGAAAAAAATTAAGAAACAAAACTCTACGTAAAAAAAACAACAAAATTTATTTTAAACATTTAACTATTTAAATTTAACCTTTATAGGTTGTCATCTTTCTGCATCACTTACAACTGACTTGCAAATCACAGCTGCAACCCAAAACCCATGAAAACTTTTCAGTAAAAAAAATAATCACTTTGGTATTGATCAAACACAATGATGAAAAATTACTTCACTGGGATTACCCTTTTTGAATAATCACCCCCTATTCTGAAAATTTAACAGGACCCTCCTGAAGAGTGTTGACATTCGGTGAGGCTTTCCTGGGCAAAAACAAAAAGAGTAATAATGAGCTTTCAGAGTTCTGAATGTTTAGTCGCAATTTTGCAAGATGTCATTCTGTGTGGCACAAGGGGTGGATAGATCATGCTAATGAAAAGCAACATCTCAATCTTTCCAAAAGACAGCTTTTAGATAGTGTATACATCTTCTGAAATGATCAGAAACGTGGACAAAAAAAATGAACATCTGAAGAGAGTGCAAAAATGCATGGAGAGGTTAATGATTGGACTTGCATTAAGAAAGCAAGAGGAACATGAGGATCAGAAAACATTATCGAAGTTAGAGGCATCATATTGACCATAAAATGTGCTCAGGCAGGACATGTTGCCATAAAGGATGGTGGCAGGTGGTCATGACTATTGACTGTGTGGCAGCCAAAGACTGCAACATGTACGAGTATGCAACCATCTAGGGGAAAGAGCAGTTAAATCACTTTGCGTGCAAAAGCTTTATGGATTGTGGTTTCGTGAAGCGAAAATGGAGGACACTTATTGGGGTAGGCCTTCATTCAGCAGTATATAGATTAAAGCTACTGCCTTATGTTGGATATAAAATGGGCTCAGATTGCTCCTGTAGCCATAAGGAGGCACCACCATTCACCAACACGTAAAAAAAAAAAACTTTATGAATCGCGACCTCAAATCATTACAATTCAACAAAATGCTTCGGCAGTGAATTGTTCTACCCACAATTTTCACACGCAAAAAAAAAAAACCTGCGCTTGATCGTCAGTCAACACCCAGACTGGAACAAAGACTCAGTAACAATGAGCATTGTCAGAAGGGGAGGGGGTGATCACAAAAACATTCGTTCATCATGTTACTAAAAAAATAAAACACTCCCGCTGCAACCGATAACACAACGCCGTACGGTTAGGTACAAGGATAGACTGCTTTTCCTGTGCCGTGTTGTGTTGCATTTGGATTGGTGTTGAGCCCAGCCAATGTACGGTCAAGTATCCAATCCAGGTGCCGTTCGCTTGCTGGGAGCAAAATCCAGTGGCTGCCAGTGACAGCTCATGAGGGAGTCAAACAGTTCCTCACTGTGCTCCATTAGTTCTCGATTCGCTGCTTCCACATCGAGAATTGCGTTGTGGTCTGGATAATGGAAAGATAAAAGCCACGCGAACGTGAACATTAGATTTCCGCGTTTGCTGTAGATACAGCAAATACGCATACTGTATGCACACGTGCAATGGACTTGCAATCCAGAGATTTTCCTGTCTTCCAGGCAAAGCGGTTGAAATTATGAAGATGTAAAGCTTTAAACAGAAAATGACTAAAACTTACCTTCAAGTGTACAATCATCTGCATCATACTCCTGACAATGGAAAAAAATGTACCAGTTAGTTACATTAATATTTCTATACGTGTCAATATTTGTGCGACAGTGGTAATGATAGATATGTACAAACAGTTATCTAGACGTGTTTGTACTCAAAATGTTTGTGTAGAAAAGCAGTTCACAATTGCCAATTTAAAAGAATAACACATTTCCACGTGATATACCAGAGGTCAAAACTTCCTGACCCTATGAGCTCCATACCAAAATCTTCATATGGCCGAGGGCCACAAGGCACCTACTGTAGCGTGGTCATGTGCACGCTGGCACTGGTTGGCTGTGCAATTTTGAATTTAGACATCTAGGAGCAGCACCCTTGTGGTCTGGGTATGAACTGCAATGGGCAAGTGCCCTGGGCTGCTCCCACTTCAGAATATTTACCCGTTTCAAAACATAGTGTATTGAAATTTCCTGGGAGCCGTAGTTTGGCAAGCCGTTATTTATGCCACTGAAGTAATCCTTCACACAGCCCACAGCTTGGTACAATGCTCAATCAAAAAGGTACGCACCTGTAATGTAGATTGAGTGTATGTGTAGTTCAGCTGGCTGATGTTTGTCGGACGGTCCCCCTTGCTGCTTATTTTGTTGTTTCCGGATGAAGGGTGGCCATCTGTTGTCTCAAAGGGCACTTGAAATTGGCTGTTGCTTTCCAAACCTGCATAAGACCTTGGGGATTTCCCCATGCTTTTCAGGATGGACAAGAGATACAAAACATTGGTCCATTTAATCACAAAACATTCAAATTCTGCAACAATAGTTTGGCCAAAATTCCCTTTAGCATTTTCTAAATGTCTTCAATTTTAAGAATTGCATTATTTTGTCGTGCATTTATGTTCATGTCACATTCATCTCAAATACAATATTGAAGAGTAAAACAAAGCATCCATTTGAAATTGATAATTATTAAATAACTGCGATCAGTCCTCGACTTACAGTCCTCGACCCGTTTGCATGTCAAACAGTTCCTAAGTCAGAACACAGTAATGTACTGTATTTAAATGCACAGTCTTTGTAATAAAATGTGTTTAACGGTTCAAAGGGAAGCATTGTTAAACTCGTAAGAATTATTGTACATTTGCATGTAATACTATAATAAATACTGTATAGTAAATCAAACAAATTAAAGTAACAAATACTTCTATTTTCAATTACCTTGAGTCCTGATACTGGCTTGCTTGTTGGAAGGGGCATTAATGAGTCCCCACAATTGCGCACATACACACACACACAGGGGCAAGCACGTGCACGCACACAGACACACACACCAATGACAACGATCCCCCGTATAGCCTTCTGAATAAGAATCTTTATTTATACTGGAGGAACCCGATGACCTATAAAGATCTTCTTGACAGATGTCCAGTAACAGACTGTTAGGGCAAGTGCTGTTAGCAAGTAGTGCCTACGAAGGCCGGAAAAGCACACGAAGGGGGTGGGTAGCCAGCACCACGGCCGGCCACCTTTGTCTCCCCAGTGGGAATGTTAACATACCGCACCAGGTACTCATTTAAGGCCGAGTTGACCTAAGGGAGGCCCAGGACACGTCTGATAATCGTTACTGGTGTTGGTCATGAGCGAAAACCGAACTCGGGTTGCCAGGTTGGTAGCGCAGCATGCTAAGCATTGCACTACCGCTCCCCACACACACACGGGAGCACACACACGCGCATTCGCACACACACTCAGTCCCAGTGGGATACATCTCGCAGAGGAATACTCCGCTGAACAAAATAGTTTCCGTGATTCAGTACCCAAGTGCAGGTTTGCGTTCACAAGTCTGTGTTAAATATATCTCATGGAAGCTGGCTCATAAGTGAGGATCTTCATAAGTCGGGTGTTCGCAAGTCAAAGACTGCCTTATATGTTACACACATTTAGTTAAGATTCTAGAAGCGTTACAAGAATATATGGGTCCCACGTGCAAACTTCAATGTCTGCATTATCAGGAACAAAATGTTCACAATCCTTTAAACATAATCCTGGAACAGCCCTTTTGCCAATCCATGGCCTGATGAGGGTCTCCACATGCCTTTCGTGTCATGGGGGTTATTTGACAATACTTTACCACGTTCGTCAATGTC